CTTAATCTGCATTAGTTTTATCTTTATTTTTTTTAACTTGAATAAAAGTGCTGAGAGGGAAACATAAAATAGTTGTTTGGACAAGCTTGCCCTGTCATCGGAAAAAGGATTAATTTGATCCAGCATGAGTCTTGCTGCTGTAGCTTGGCAAGTTCCTCAAGGATCTTCTTTTAGCTGATTGTAAAGAACTAATTTAAACATCCCAGTTAGCACAAGGCATGAGAAGTGGAATAACAGTGGTCTCTTCCAAGTCAGTTTTCTTACTTCCAGCTGATGTGGATGTTTGCTAAGAAGACATTAATCATCCAAACCTTCCCACTATCTTTTTAAAATGTTCTGGGATTTGGGTGTTCTCTTGATAGCTTTGCACATACCTTTTCTCTCACTGACTTTTTATAACTGATGAGCATTTTTTTTTCTTCCTTTCTCTTTCCCTCTCTCACTGCATATATGTATGTGTTGCGCTGGGCTTTTTTGGCCATATTTCCTTCTTGATTCTTTAAATGGGTGTCCTGCATTTTCTCTGGTGGATATTGGTCCCTATCTCTGCGTTCCACCTTGGCTACCTATGTCTCCATGGCGTATCTGCCTCTGCATTTGCTCTTGTTCACATGCCCAAAGAAGGGATCGGGGAAGTGATGGAGAAGGAGGACTGTATCCAGGCTTTGAGTGGCCAGATCTTCATGGGCATGGTCTCCTCCCAGTATCAGGCCCGATCTGATGTCGTTCGCCTCATCGAAGGACTAGTCAATGCTTGCATTCGTTTTGTCTATTTCTCCCTGGAAGATGAGCTGAAGAGTAAGGTAAGCTATTCCTTTGCTTTTTACATCATTTTTTTAGCATGGCTTGTTCCTGTGGCAGCCATGTCGAGGACACAGTGGTCCTGTTCATCCTGGGACTAATTCTGAACTAATGTTAATGGTTTCTTCTTTTGATATGTTTATTGTATTTTAGCTAATCCCTTTAATTTACAATACTTTCTCCTCCCTCTTCTCTTTCCTACAAAATACCACAGTTAATACTTTAGTAATGGAATGTTCTTCCATTTGTGATCATGATAAATTTTTCCCAAAGTACATTTTTGTTATTGGAAGATGTATATTAAGGAAGAATCTTATTAAATGCCCATTAGATTTATTTCAATATATATTACTATAATAGTAAATTAGACATAGTAACTCTAGATAGGCTTGTGTGTCCAAAATGGGAATATACTTGTTCTGCTCCAAAAATAGTTCTCCAGCTACTAAAGGCAAACAACATTTGGAAACGTGTATACATTTTTAGAACATACATAATTTTTAATGTACCATTGATGACTCTTTAATCAAAATAACCAGAAAGGTTTTGATCAAAATAAACACTTGAATATCTTGTAATATGTGATCTTGAAATTGAATCTGAATTGTAAGCCTAAATCACTGCTTTTATTTCATTTTCTCTCTTGCCTTCCATTTTTGGACAGCGTATAAATTTAATGAATAAATAAATTTGTACAGGTGTTTGCTGAGAAGATGGGTCTTGAGACTGGCTGGAATTGCCATATATCTCTAACTCCCAATGGAGATGTGCCTGGTTCTGAAATCCCTCCCTCCAGCCCCAGTCATGCAGGCTCCTTGCACGAGGACCTTCCTCAAGGTGAGCATAAAATAGCTTGGCAGGGTTTGCAGAGGGTGAGCAGAACATTGGCTGCAACAAAGGGGTTGGCTTTGTTGAAGCAATTTCTAATGGGCTTTTCTTGCCGAAGCAGGATCAAATGTTGTTGTATGGGACAGCCCACTTTACCTTTCTTAATTCCTCAGTCCTGTACAAATATCTAAGGACTGAAAAGCCAATCAAGTGGATTAGAGGACCCCACTGTTTAATCACTGTTTAATCATCTATGTGAGCCTTAAAGAAATTTAAAAGTAATAACCGTGAACTGTCTATGAGATCCTCAATCATCCAGATCATGATTGTCCCAAAGGTGCTTTTCCAAAAGGCAAGAAGAACTGAAGAAGCTTCTTGAGTGAGAAGCGAATTATTTTCAAAGAAAAATAACACCAAGAAAGTCTAGTTGTCTTTTGGAAAAGCCCTTTTGGGACAATAACCTTGAATTCTATCTGGAAGACGACTGATAACCAATGCAACTTGCAAAGTCGTAACATCATGGTCATACTGTGGTGAGTTATACTGAGTTTTTGGCCCTGACAACAAGGAGAGCTAACCCTAAGACTAACCCTAGTTTCCTTTAATTGGCAATGGGAGTTTCACATGTCTTTTATGTGGTCCAAGAAGTAGTTTGAACAAAAAGCTATAACTGTCCCTTTCCTTGGAGAACCTCTAAGAATCTATTCCTGAGATCAGTTCTCGACTAGGACACCAGAGATCTAACCCAACCCTAACCCTAAAACCCTAGCTTTAGTAACATTGGGAATGGGAATTTCCCAGATGTTTTACAGTGGTTGCCAAAGGCGCATTCATAATTAACCTCCCCTGCTGCATTCTGAATTAGCTGCAGCTTCTAAAGGTCCAAAGTTAGCTCTGTGTAGAGCATGTTGCATTAATCAAGGGAAAAAAATGAATAGGCATGTGTGACTGGGGATAGGGCTTCCAGATCCTGGAATGATACGTAAATTGGATTTGAGTCATGGCTGACTCCTATCTTCAAACAGAAATCATGAGTGTAAGCATGCCCTCAAACTGCACACTTGTCTAAGGCACCACAATTCATTCAGAACCAAAGATGGAAAATCTTTGGATCTAGAAAGCATCTTCACCCCCACCATCCTATCCACATTCTGATCCTGTTAGATGTCATCCGTAAGCATAGTCAATACAGTTATAGGATTGTGCCAAGATCTGAAAGCTGACTGCAAGAGATCCAGGTAATCAGTTTCTTCCAGAGACCTCTGAAGCTGCAGCCCAAATACTTTCTCAACAACCTTTTCCAAGAAGGAAAGTTAGAGACAGATCAAAAATTGAGCAGAACTGTTGGATCCAGTGAAGGTTTCTTGAGGAGTCGGTGGGGTGGGGGGCATCTCCTTCTTAAGCACAGACAGAATGGCCCCTCAGACAAAGTTGCATTCACAGCTTGGACTTAGCCACAGTTATCTCTTGGGGAGGCCTTGACTAACAGGGAGGGACATGAACCCGTGAGTAAGTCACTACAATCTCAGTTTTGAGAATCCGATTCCCTCCCTTGGGACCAAAAGGCTCAAACTGTTTCCAGATAACCACACCAGATCATGCTTCTGTCAACTTAGCATCGCCTGGAATTCAGCTCAGAGTGAATATGGCACTTTTATCTGAAAAGTTCTTTTAAAGTTCTCACAGTGGTCCTTCGTTTGACCCATCCATCCCTAGGAGGGACCAAGTCATCTTAAACAGGACCACTAGATGGCAATCCATGGATGCAATAAGTGCAGAAATACAGCTGTGTCTTTCTGCTCTTATTGGCACAGTATAAACTTTATGAAGGACTGTGGCCAACATTTTGTCAGATTTGCTCTTCATTGTATGTTGGATCTCAGTTATCTGAGTTAATATTCCACTACATGGGTACCACAGCAGAAAAAAACCTGCCCCCTAGAGTAGCCTAATGTTACTCCTTAGATGATGGAACCTGGAACATACCCAATCTGTTGGATCCAGTGGGACAAGTCTATGAAATCGGGAAAAGGCAGTCCCTCAGATGACCTGGTCCTATGCAACGGTGGGGCTTTAAAAGTCAACATCAGCAGCTTGAATTGGATCCAGAAACAAGCCAATAACAATGCAGCTCATGCAGCAGAGGTGTAATGTGCCCTGTAACAGAAACACGCACAACTGCTCACACCTTTTGCACCAGCTGTTTTTGGATAATTTTTCAAGGCGGCCCCATGCAAAGCATATTGCAATAGTCCGATTGGGAAGTGACCAGAGCATGAGTGACCATGAATAGGCCCCTTGATCCAGGAACAGGTGCAACTGGAGCCCAGTACAAAGCTGGGCCAAGGTTCTCCTAGACACAACTTGAAGAGTCCCAGATCCTGCATAGTGTCTATTGGTCATAGTACCAAAGACCATGTAATCCTAGAACCAAAGGGCCCCAAACCGCAAAGCCACTCCTGCCAGAATTCAGTTGAATCTGTTGTTCTCCATCCAGACTCTTACCTTCCCAAGAGTAATCTGCCCTCTGTCTTCTACTATATCTTCCTTTGCCCATTATCACTGAGATATTATTGCCTGTTACTTCCCCCCCTTGTGGAACTAGCACTTCTCCCAAACTTGTCATCTCTCGCCCAATCCATGGATCCCATCCAAAATACAGATATAAAGCAAACATTCCCTATACGGCTACCTGTCTTTTCACCACAGAGTATTATCAACCATCCACCTGGAAGCATCAGTACTTTTAAGCTTTTCTACTTGATACACTCCCTTAGTAGGCATTAGATGTAGTTAAAACTTGGCTGAATATGAGATCATGCTTTTGACACTGACTAAGATGAGTTGTTTAAGACATCTTTTATTTTAGGAATGTTGAGTGGGATTTGTCAGCTGATGTAACACAGAAAATCAGCACTTGCACTTCTGGGCTGTCACAGTGCCTTGTGGGGGAAATGTTGGGGAGGGAGTGCCCGGCATTAGAGATTCATAAAAAGCTGCAATAGCAGTCTTCTGTTTTCATGTTGTTGTCTTCTCTGTCCTCAGTCTCCCGAGAAGATGCGGAGGGGATTCTATTGATGGAGGAGGAAGGTCACTCAGATCTTATTAGCTTCCAGCCAACAGACAGTGATATCCCCAGTTTCCTGGAGGACTGTAACAGGGTACAGTTGACATTTCCTTCCTGTCCAGAATAGATTCTCAGCAATTGTTGCAGCTTTGGATGCTTGCATAATTGTATGCTTAATAAGTAGGGAGGAAGGTGGGAAGGTATTGAGAAGAAAGCTCTGCTTAATTTAGCGTGACTTAAAGCAATATATATATGGTACATGTTACCTAATCTAACAGTTTGCTTCCTCAAATTCCCATGGATGTATTAGCATATGTAATGGGAGATTAGAGTTCATTATGACACCTTTTATAGACCGTCCAAATAGCAGAAACCCACGTGTACCAGTGAAGTTCAAAAGATATAATAATCTGACACAAGGAAGTGATGCCAACTGGCTGCAGAACATAGCTGTGCAACTTTTTTGGCGCTAAGAACTCTGAATGTAGAGTCAAGAGAAAGTATGCAGGGGAAAGACAAAAAGCTACATTTGATTGACTTAATTAAATTTAATTCAGTGAAGTTAATACAGCAGCTCTTTCTGTATTTAACAATATAGTTAATGATATCGCTTGATATTGCTTAATGATATTGCTTTTTGTCACATTAGAAATTACAGTGCAGCATCACTGTACATCAACTCTTGGAGGATTTCCAGACACTGCAGCAAAGGAGGGTTTTTTCCCCCTTCTGAAAATTATGTCTTGAAAAAGGAGAATAAAAATTATTTCACTGGCTTAGAGAAAAATAATTAGCTATCTCAGTCTTGAAAATTAACTTTAATTATTCACATATACACGTGAATATATCTACAGTAAATTTTCATTATTTCCAATAGTTATTTTTTGTGAAGTCTTCATGACTGGGGGTTGATTAAGCATCTCAGAAGGGGCCCTTCCTAGTTCTATAGAAAGTAAAGGCAAGGAAAGAGATAAATTCTTTCAGACTTGCAAGAGTCTTTTACTATAGTCTTATGGTTATGGTAAGTATTAGGAGCATTAGTATTTGGTTTCCTGTCTGGATTACCTCAAAGGGTTGACAAGACCAGAATCTAGGAAAAATGAATCTAGAACTGTTAATTTACATAAAGAAAATATTTTCTTAGTAAAGAACTTCATTCATTAAATACTTTATTAGCGAAGAACCTCATTAATGAGCCAAATATTTATTAAGATCCAAGTTCGTCTAGTGGTTAAAGCACCAGGATAGAAACTGTGAAACTGAGAGTTCTAGTTCCACCTTCGCCATAAAAGCTGGTCATACACTCTCAGCCTAACTCATCTCACAGGATTATTATTATGGGGAAAATAGGAGGAGGATGGAATATTGGATATGTTCACCACCTTGAGTTATTTATTAAAAATAATAAAAGTGGAAAAGGAAGGAAGGAAATGTAAGTGGCATCACTTGAGTCTTTTTGCAAGAGATACCAGCTTGATCTAGTTTGTAGTTCCTAGATTACTGGATATTAGAACTGGATTATATTGCACTGAATTTGGGACATCTTGATTGGTAAGAGCAGACAGTGGCTTTCTTATATATATATCTGCAGAGCATCTGACTATAGGACTATGGATCTTAATAAGTTACCTTTCTTTTGCTTGTTTGCTTTGTTTATTTTAGGCCAAACTACCCCGGGGAATCCACCAGGTGAGACCCCACCTGCAGAACATTGACAACGTGCCTTTGCTCGTTCCTCTGTTTACAGATTCCACCCCAGAAAGTAAGTGAGGGTCAGGCTGGCTGGATTCTTTGTTGCTCAGATTGAAAGGCCCTATGAAAAGTTAAAGGGTGCCAATGAAACAAGAACTCTCTTTATTGGAATGTATGCATAGTCGTTTAGGAAAGACTTATGGAAGACTGGTTTTATATATGGTAACTGCAGGAAGATTATTATATGCCCAAAGAGGGAGAGATACTGAAATATCCCCAATGAAGGGATGGATAGTGAAGGTGGTAGAGCTGGCATTGTTAACAAAACAGTACTCTCTCAGAGACAGGACAATATGTACCCTGTTTCTCCAACAATACGGCCTCCTCCAATAGGAAGTCCCAGCATGTTTTATAGGCATGAAATGAAATTAAGCCCCTCCCCCCAAATTAAGGCCTATATTAAAACATGCGAAATGGTGGGGGGGCTTGCCATTAGGAAGTACTTTTGTTGCACACCCGGATATGGTGCTGCCTGCGTTGACCCCGATACGAAGTGCCCCACCAACGCCGAGGTCAACATCCAAGCCATCACCGCCCATCTGCCCAAAGATGCAAGTGGGGTGGGAATTAAGTCACCCCTGAAAAGACGGCCTAGCCATTTTATCGGGGCTCAAAAAAAAAAAAAGACCCGGACTTATTATATGAGAAACATGGTACTTCTTTAAAAGATGGGAAAAATTTTAACAATTTTTTACTAGAAATATTCAAAATGAAATGGTGATTTCTAGATTTGACAACTGAAAAAAAATGAATAAGTGGCGGGAGGGATTATTGTAAGGTGAGGGAGGAGGATAATGAGTGTTTGCAACCTCTGTAAAGAAGGGTGGAAGTCTCATCTGTAGCTATTTTTCTTTCTTTCTTTAACGCTATTCTTTTCTGTACTTTTTCTTTTCTATTTTTTTTCCTTTTCTTTATAACATTTCCGTATTTGTCTTTTACCTGTATAAAAATAAAAATTAGTCAAAACAATGAAAGCTAGAGGGGTAAGTTCTTTTTTTCCCTTTTCTCTTGCCAGCCATGTGTGAGATGATCAAGATCATGCAGGAGTACGGGGAAGTCACTTGCTGCCTGGGTAGCTCTGCAAACTTGCGCAACAATTGCCTTTTCCTCCAGAGTGATATCAGGTAAGAAGAAGACAGTAGCAGCCTTCAGGCTTTAATCTTCGGCTTTTGAGAAATACAGTATATGACCTCATTCCTGATTTCTTTGCTTTTTGGATGACTTCTCTGCTGTTTTTCATTTCTCAGGCTATGCAAAACATCCCTGAGTCTTAAAAATGACCATTTTTCTTTGCTTTGTCTCAGAGTGCATTTCATGCCTTTGAAAGTACAGTTACATGTTCTCCCTTGCAATCAATAATGGAAGACAATTGTGTGTGGTCTGATTCAGGAGAGAGCAACCACAACTCTCAAACCCAACTTTTCTTAGAGCACCGTAAGAGCATAGAGCTGAAGTTTAGCACTGAATTGATTTTTCCTTTCCTAGCCACTTCATCCCCTTTTTGTGGTCTTGAAAGCTGGGCATTACATTTCTCTTTAAAGTCATGATATCTTTTGTCAGTGAGTTCTTAAAAGAACTGTTGAAGTCTAATCATTGTCTCTCTAGTTTTTAACTGTGAGGGATGCAATATCCCGTTTGGTTGCCATGTGTATAGACTTTTTGCCACTTTGTTAAGACAGAATGTTGCCCGGGGTGCACCATCGTGGAGGTAGTCTATAATTCCTACCCCTTAGAATCCTTAGGTATCGAAGTATAACATCTGTCCTACTGCAAATCTATGGCTCCATATTATGGTGGTTTATTATGGTTTTATCTTACTTTAATACATTATTGATATGCTAAATAAATAAACGTATAGAAGAGAGTTGAAGTGTAAGGCAGTAACATCTGGGACGCGATTTTTCAATGAAATTACACTGGAAAATGTAGCCTCAGATTCTGGAAGTGGTATGTAGACATGCTGATTAGTTGCCAACGACAATGGTCCTCTTGGTTAAGCACTAACATACAATCTACAAATTTCATTGTTTGCTTACAGCCAGCATCGTATTTTTTTAGATCACTTTTTATTTCATTATTTCTGCCTTTTCCCCTGTTGCATTAATCTTCCTTATGTCATATTACCTATACAGCATAGCATTGGATCCTCTCTATCCCTCTCGATGCTCCTGGGAGACCTTTGGTTATGCTACCAGCACAAACCTGACCCATATTTCTGATGAGCTCACGCCTCTTCAGCTCTCTGGCCAGCTGAATAGCTTATCCTGCTCCTTGTCTATTTGTCCCGAAGAAACAATTGGGATCATCAGACTTATAGAGCAAGTAAGTCCACTGTTCTTTCAAGAGGGTAGAACGTATCTTTGTGACATCCATCAAACTCTCGTCTTAATTATGATCATAATGTATTAACGTATTAATATCTCTGCTAGCTTCTAGACTAAATTAGACAAAAGTATACTTCAAATCAATCTAGGTAAACTTCTGGTATGTTTCCCTTTACAGTATAAAGTGGTGTCTGAATATAATTCAGTAGGTTAAGAAATTTAATGGTTCATTTCTTAAAATTATTTTGAATTCTGAGAAAGCATTTGAAAGGCTTGCATTTGATTTGTTTAATTTTGATTAATTAAAAGTAGATTAATTTATTGTATTAATTGCCTTCCTCCATACCTTTTTGGAAAGTATTTGCTCTGAAAAATCGCTTCCTAATAAAAATATTGTCTGTTATTGTAGCAGTAGCCTCTGATGTAAGTCGTAGATTTGCTGGTTTGCTCATACATTAATAATATCCTAAAAATGTGTTCACTTTTAGGCCCGGCATGCAACCTATGGCATACGGAAGTGCTTCCTTTTTCTTCTGCAGTGTCAGCTGACTCTGGTCATCATTCAGGTGAGTTATCCTAAACAATTTCACAAAGCAGAAAAAGCATATTGGTAGAAGAATGTAGCCTCCCAGGAATCCAGTAATAGAAATTAGATTGCTCTAATCTTATCTAATTTGTTATTTCCTGTTTTTTTCCCAAAATAAACATTAGGAAAATGAAAGAAACGTAGAGAGTACTTTGGAGGTAATAGATGTTAGCAATTACTTTTTAGGGGGAAAGAAGCACAGCAATTAAGAGGTGTATGTGTGTATCCAGTAAGCAGATGTCTTATCTAAATTCCTCATGATCTCTTTTTGAGTTTTCCTGTAAGTGTTTTACATGGGCATAATTCAGAGTAGTTCAAGCAGAGTTACAATTGCCACTATGGGGTATACAGTATGCTACTAATATTTCTCTAAAAAGAAGTAAGTTATTTTTCTTTTGAAAATAAATAAAAGTTGATTTTGAAACCCTCAGAAATAGTCAGATCTTCACTATACATTTCTTCTTAATGATCTATCACTATTGTTGTATGTACACTGAAAGCTTTTGCACCGGAGACAGATTCCTTGTGTGTCTAATCACACTTGGTCAATAAAGAATTCTAATATTCTAGATGTCATTGATGTTTTGTTGATTCCTCAATTTCCAGCTTTGCTTCTGATGATGCCTTTTGCTTTGTTGTATGTAGTTCTTGTCTTGCCTGGCACAACTGCCTCCCATTCTCAGTACCACTGACATATTGTGGCTTTCGTGCTTCTGCTACCCATTGCTAAGGTAAGCTATCTGTAATACCCGCCCCCCTCCATATTTTCAGATAGTGGTTTCTTTTCCTAAGTTAAGAAGGGCTAATTTAAGATATGGAATGCTGGATTTGATTTTCATATTCTAGCCACCCTATTGAAGCTACTAGAACAATTTCCATACAGCAGTTACTCTCTAATAAAGGAGAATATTTGTAACTCAGGGTTGAATTGAGGGGGTCTTTGGTGGTCTCTGAGCTCAGTAGTTTTCTTGCAGATGTTTCATTACCCAACTAGATAACATCATTAGTGCTAGAGGTCTATAATATGAGGGAGTCCTCAGTGAATGACACAGTGGGCAAATATTGCACTTCTTTGCAGAACATAAGTTAATACACTTGAACTGATTTTGTTGACTGCCTCTATCACTGTAGACCAGGGATGGGCAACTTAAAACTACTGTAAGCCCCAGTTTGGTGGTCCTCTGGACAGCACACTGAAAGGCAAAGGAAAAATGGTAAACATTGGTTGACTAATTTCCTGCTGATTATGGAGGGGAGGAAAAAAGGCTGTGGCAACTCTTTAGTGAGAGTTACAGTATCTTAAACCATGAATTTCTTGAAGCTACTATCCTCCACAGAAATTGTTTACACTATGTTTGTAATGTCACAGTGTTACTGATTTGATTCTAGTGGTCCCTGGCAACTAATAACACTTAAAAATAAATTTGTGGCTTCTGATCACAAAACTTTGTTCACTTTCGATGTAGAAGTAGATGGAGGGCACCCACAAAGGAGGAAGTGGTATGATGGATTGCAGTGAAATGGCAGTTTCCCAGGAAGGAAGGAACATTCTTAGGAAAGGGGCAAAACAAGCGGCGACACAGTCCCACAGTGGGTCAAAGACAGATAACTAAGATTGCCACTCCTTGGAATCTCCCAGAGAATATCTGCTGGGCTGGGAATAGCCTGGCAAGATTCTGTCTATTGGTGTGAGCAAATAAAGAACTGAACTTGGGCATCTCTCTTGTTCTTGGGGGTGAGCCTGACAAGATGTCTAAACGGCTTCATATGCTTGTTGCATTCTAATGTTCTAGACCAAGGGTCTTCAGACTTGGCAAGTTTAAGACTTGTGGACTTCAACTCCCAGAATTCCTGTGCCAACATGACTTGAATTCTGGGAGTTGAAGTCCACAAGTCTTAAAGCTGTCAAGTTTGAAGATCCCTCTTCTAGACTATCTTTCACATTAATTACCTTATTATTTTTTCAAGTGTGTCCCTTCTGGGAAAGCCCCCTCATAGTTCCATTATGTCAATGGCGACTGGGAAAAACTTGATCTTCATTCCTAAAAAGGTAAGGCAATGTTTCAATTGGATGTCTTACTTGCTTGGGGTACAAGGAAACTTTACAAAGGGTTAATTGTCTAGCCAGTTGCTTATAAATGATCCCCCCTTCCTTTCCAATAGATACCTTATTGACCAGGTTCCAACTTGTGCAAGAAAAGTCTGTTAGATTTCTGGCTGGGACTAAACAAATTTTCTTTCCTCTTTTGCATCAGACAGATCTAAATCCAATTATTTATTAAATTTCTTTGCTGCTGACTCACAAACAATACAATACTTTTAAACTGTACTCTTATCATGAAATTTCCATAGCACCAAACCTCATGAGCCTCTGCCTATGAGAATGTGAAGGCAACTATGCTGGGGGTTTGGAAACTATGCTGGTGATGTTGGACCAAGCATGGAGGGACTGTTTTTGAACCTGGTTGCTCTGTGGATACTGATGGTTTCAAGTGTTTTTGTTTTTAACTTCAGAGGAACTTACTGCTGTGTAAGGATTTTCTCAGTATGTTTGTTAGAAGTTCACATCTAATCCCTGTGGTTGATTTTCAAGGGCTCTTCTCGGTAACCGAGAAGTAACCAAATCTTCTGGACTCTATACATTGAGAAAGCCACCCAAAAAACCAGCAATGCATTTCCTCCAAATCACTAGGAGATGGCTAATTTCATCCTTCCTAGACCACAGAGCAACAGCAACCATGTGGCCCCTATGACAATCCAGTTTATTTTAAGTAGCAACCCAATTGCATAGTGGAGCAACTGGTAATTTGGCTCTTTTGCAATTGCAACTCGGCTACTTAAAGTCATCTTCCCCACATAACCACTGGTCTTTTTGGCAATGTTTGTAGACTCAGCATTACTTCCTCTTCTGCTTCCTGTTGAAGTTCAGCCTCACCATCTGTTCCTGCTTGGCTTGTTTTGGCTACTTGCTGCAAGATTACTGTGCAAACTTCAACTCATCCAACTTCAGCATGAATGTCACAGGCTGCTTCTCCCTTGTGCTGCAAAGGTAGGCTTCAGAGATCTCTTGAACTTCCCAAATGCAGCAGCTGGAAGCATTGTGCTGTAGGTATATGCAATGTTTAGCTGGACATTTTTAAATATTTTGTTCCAAGCTGGCATAGCCTACAATATTTTTTCCCAGAGTTAAAAAAATTAGAAGTGTGAAGAGTCATAGAATAGATGCTTTTTCCAGGCTGTGTGGCTGAGCATGTGGGCAAAAAATTAAATTCCTTGCTGCTAGATACTGGTTACATTAATTCAACTCTGCTCTTTCTGGATTTCTGAGATCATCTCAGATTTAAATCTGTCAATTTCAACAAGTTGTTGAGGCCATAATTTAGTCTAGAAGGTACCTTCCTTACATTGCCATAATTATCATGGTTGATAAAGTAGATATAGGTGTTGTAATTTTGCCAATGCCTTCTCCTTCACTCACTCACTTTCATTCATACACATATATACACACATGGACACATATTTCTTTCAAGAAGTTCTTGGTCACCAATTGCCTTATTATAATGCTATGTCCATGACCATCTGTGGTTGACCAGTTAATCCAATAAAAGAAGGTATCTAATTGGAATTGCAGAACCCCTATCACCTACAGATTACTCATAAGGCTCCTTCCTGATCCATTCCTTTACAAGAAGCATGTTTATTCCTTTAACATTGATCCATCCATTTTTTTCCCCCCAGTGGAGCAGAACGTCCGCCAGATTGGTTTGGAACTTTCTCCAATGTTATTCTCCTAGCCCAGAAATTTACAGCTGGAATGATTGTCTTACACATTGGTAAGCGGTTATTAGTCCTTGCTTCATATGGTGGTAAGGAATGGTCTTGCCTGCGGTTGGGTAGATTTTACCCTACCTGCTGCAAAGCTGCAAATAAAAAACAAGTTGGTTTTTCTTTGCAGTGTTTATATCAGTCACCCATGTCCATCGTACCAAACCACTGTGGAAGAAAAGCCCCTTCACTAACTTCTGGTGGACTCTGACAGTAGTGGTTGTGTGAGTCTCTTTTCCTAATTCTTAGAAACTGCAGCTGAATCTAGTCAGCCTTTTTTAACAAGTTGGCTTTGTTTTTAACCAATACTCCTTTATCACCTAAGTATATATATGTTTATCACCTTTATATATATGTATTTATATATATATTATCACCTTTATATATATTTATATATCCTTTATCACCTTTATATATATGTTTGACTGGGAAACAGCATCATATTTCAGTCATTTTATGGATATGTGTTTCGGGAATGCCACAATTTTCTGTGTCTCTTTTCAGATTTCTAATCATTTCCTTAGCTTTGGCACTTTTAATGTATTTCACGGTCTACAGCAGGAATTCTTAATCTTATTGTATCATGGACCACTTTGAACATCTGGTGAAACCTACAGATACATTCCCAGAAACTATATGTTTAAGTGCATAACATAAAAGACATAGATTCTATAAAAAAACAGTCAACATATGCTCAATATATGTATCAAAAATAATTTAAATAATTCTAGATAGTGAGATTTTTTGAAATTCATCCATATTTTGGCAATTTAGAGGCCACGTATTAATTACTTTGCTGTCTACATTCTTTATTAAAGAAAAAATAATAATTAGTGGTCAGGGAGTATAATTTTTTCCCATCCAAATTCACAGACCCTCCTGAATCTATCCATGGACACCTTAGGGCTCTCTAGTCCCTAGGGTAAGATCTCCTGGCCTACACCACCATCTTGAAGATTCTTTGTGGATGTGTCAGGAATGGGTAACCCGTGGATCTTCAGATACTCTAAAATACAATTCCCAATAACTCCAACCATCCAATCTGGTGGTGAGGAGCTCTGGTATCTGCAGTAAAACAGCACCTTGAGATTCACAGGTTGCCTCCATATGAGGTGGATCCCATTGGCTCTTATTAAAATTCAGCACCAAGGTTTCCTTCTTGCTTCTGTGTATTCCACTATGTCTTCTCTTCTGCCAGCAGCCACATTTGAGAGAAGACCCCATCTCCCTTCCAAGAATGATGGTGCTCACAGATTGTTTTCTTATATTACAGGTTGCTGGGCCAGGTTGTTCAGACCTTTGTGGACTTGAAACTGTGGGTGAATTCTGAGTCTCCAGTGACTTACCAAGTGAATGACATTCCCATGGCCTCCTGGCTGCTGGGGTTGCTCTCTCTTGTCCTTGTGGTGATAATCAATGAGACTGTCAAACTCCACGAAATCAGGTAAGAGTAACTCACTGAGTAGTCCAGCCTTGTTTAGCATTTCTAGTACTTCAGGTATCTTGTATATATTATGAGTCTTGGAATTTGTTAAAGCAGGTAGGGAGGGACCTCCCTCCTTCTTATGTTAGATTGATAAGGAAAAAAGAAACAACATCCCTTTGTCCAAAGAATGAGTGGTGTGCATGAGAGCTCCATGTTGACACCTCCTTATGGCTACTGGCTTCTGCAGCACCTTCATACAAAACGATAAAAAAGCATTCCATCATGCATAGAAATCTTTCAGCCTTGCGAGATAGACCAGACAGGAGACACGTCTAGATGAGCTAATTCTACTTGATTGTCAGGTTTCTTTAACAGTATCTTGCAAGTCCGAAAATATATCTTATTCCACACCCCCTTTATGGCTCAAGAAACTAGGGACAGTCTCTTGTGAACCTCTTGCCCTGCCCACATTCATACTATGGGCTAAGTTGCCTAAAATGGCAACTCAGTTGCCTTTTTACCTTGTCTCACAAGGCCAATCCCATATACCACGACATCACCAAATATATCTATTTATATACGCAACATGAAAGCATTTTGGTGAAGGTTGAAGATGGGTGGCTGTTGCCCACAGTATGCCTAGTGTAGGCCAGAGCATGTGTATTGCAAACCTGGACTGCAAATGAAGTGTGTCCTGCTGGTTCAGACTAGCTCTGCTCTTTTCAGCAATAGCCTTAAAGCCTGTATGGTATTCTTATTTCCCATTTCCCCTTCGCTCTTTGCTTCTCTTGTTAAAAAGAAAAACTCCTATTTTGCTAAAGGAAATCATTATTGTCCTTCTCCTCCCTCTCCTCCCTCTTCAAAGGGAGAATAATTTTGTGCTATTTAGCCATAGCAATGGCAATAGCACTTAGACTTATATACCCCTTCACATTGTTGTACAGCCCTCTCTAAGTGGTTTATAGAGCCTTTTGCCCCCAACAATCTGGGTCCTCATTTTACTGACTCTGGAAGGATGGAAGGCTGAGTCAACCTTGAGCTCCATCAGAATGGAACTCTAGGCTGTGGGCAGAGTTTGCCTGCAATTCTGCCTTCTAACCACTGTGCCACCAGGTGCAGAGTTACTTAGTGTACAACAGTAATTTTGTCTCATTGTCCAACTGGCGCCTTTGGAAGGTCAAGAATACATTGACAAGGATTAGGGGCAAAACAGCTGTGAAAGGAAAGGAGCATTAACCCATATCATGGAGGGAGGCCCGTAGAGGAGGCCAAGAATTCAAGGCACCCTTTGACAAATATGCAATGTGGAAATATTCTGCAGGTCATCATGATATAATTGGAAATCATTTTATTTCCAGTTATCCAAGGAAGCTTATTTAAAAAAAGAGACTCGAGTCAGATAGCCTCCAAATTCTGCTGTGCATGCAGTGCGTGTATCAGATAGAACTGTTAATGCACCTTCGTTTGGGGTTTTTTATGACTAATGGGCTTAGTTGCTGTTCTTTACTGCTGCCTTCCTTTACTGAACTGTCCAAACAAGCCTGCATGGTAACTAATGTAGTAGCTTTTTCCTAGATGAGCCATTGTAAATGCATCTTTGCATCACAGGAGATTTACTAAGGGGAAGCTGCTCTTGCAGAAAAGCCTCTGTTAACTTGAAAAATTTCTGATAATTTTCCAAAGAGCTTAAAAACAGCTGCATCAAATCATGGGAATGTATAAAAAAAATCTTTGAGCAATGTTTAGGGTAGCTTAGATTATAGGAACAGCACTACTTCCTGTTGTCTTTTCTTCATTTATTTATTTTTTCTCTCTGTAGGGTTCGGGTGCGTTACCAGAAGAGACAGAAGCTGCAGTTTGAAACTAAGCTGGGCATGAATTCTCCTTTTTAATCCCTTCACGTTGGATGTGCCCTAGAGGGCTGCATGTCCCTTTTGTGCCCAGCCTTGTCACTTAGGAGAGAGGGAGAGCAACAGCCTTACAGAGGAATCCCTCTATGGTCTGATTGAAAGGTCAGCAGGGGTCCAGGCAAAGGGTTGACATTGGGACAATGACACACAGACAGCTGTCCTTGCCATTATTTATTTTGGGACCTCCTCCAGTGATGCTTCTTGGAATCTCTCCGGTTGGCATGGATCTAAGAGCAGGAAATTGTCCCTGATAACTTTTTCAGGTTCCATGATTTTAATCTTTAATTGTCACTTGTTGACCTCTCTGCTGTTGGCTGCTTCTGTTCAAGTGTGTCTGGCTTTCCCTGTCCTGCTAGGCCCTGCAAGGAAGGCCCAAAGAGGCCCTCAGCTGCAGCTGCAGCAGCAAAGTTTCCCTCTCCTAATATAGTGGTGAGACTGCCCTTTGGAAGAGAGAGGAACAAACCACGGCTGAAGTAAAGTATTGGAGAGAATTGGATGCAAAAGTGACTTGCAGGCAGGCTCTCAAATTAAACTCCCCTGGGACATGATGTTGTCTGTTATCCCTAACTAGCAAGCCAGGCCTTTCATCCATACAGTGAGAGCATTGATGGGGAAAGTTAGTTTGTGGGTTTCTCAGCTTGGCCAGGTGCCATATTTTCTTAACGCTCCATGCTAATTGGCTAGATTTGGGTATGTGTGGTAATGTTTCACACACACACACACACCCAAGGACTGGGAAGCCACAAGAATCCATGCGAAATGGTAAACATGGAAGTCAAAGTGTCCCCCAAAAGTCGCCTGAACCAGAGCTGTGGCAGGAGTTTGTATTTCCTTCTGTGAGAGCACATTTGCAGGCAACTGTCTCCAGTTGCTTTGAATGCGTGAAGGCAGGTGACGCTGGCCGTATCTCTTCCTGCCTCAAGTCCATGGGCTGGATGGTCACTTCTCAGGCCCAGCAGAGAGAGGCCTTTAGCTGAATGTCGTCCTTGCGTATACTTCAAAGCATATTTGAGCGGAATCTCGAGTTAGTGAACTTACAAACACAAAATACCTCATTCCAAAGTCTTGCCCCCCGAGAAAAGATATTTTTCTGATGGGAACCTGCATACCCCTACCCCTATCTCGTTTCTTAAAAGGCCAGTTTAGCTATGAAGAGTAATTTTCTCTAAGCAGAAGGCTAGCGCCATTATGTTCTGCTCTCAGTTTTCTTTCCACTTCTTCAGATTATTGTCCTATAATAAGGCTATATTGTATGATCCATATTAAGGCTGTCCCAGACATAACATGCAGGTAAAATAGTGGGAGATGTTTAATTTAAAAACTGTTTTGGTCAGATTTTGAGCTGCAGCGTAACACACCCAACTGCCATAGATAAGGGTGAGACAATCCCAATTCATTTCTTACTGCTGTATTTAAAATTACTGATTGATTGTGACTGATCCCACAGTGCTCTGAGGGGACATTATCTTTCCATAGTGGGCAAAATGATATTCAGCTTTGCCAGGAAATAATCACAGATTGATGCCTGACAGTATTGGGACACTTTTCTGAAAAAAAGAGAAGGTTTTCTATCTGGAAGATTTTTAGAAACTTGATCTATGGTCCTCCACGTACAACAAGCAGAGTTTATTGATTTGTGACCTCTAATTGATTTGGCCTTGGGAAAGTGATCAGTAACTTATTATTACATTTCTAAATAGTTTACTGCCTAGACATTTCCTTTTGTTCAACTTTGCTGCCGTCCACATATAGTTAAAGCCTGTCATTTTCTCAATTTATTATTATCTGGATTTCTAAGAACAATGAGGTTTGGAATATGTATTCTGGTCCACACAACCATTTTATTAACAAGCTACGATGTGGTCCATGATCTGAATCCTTTTTGGGGTTGAGTAACCTGCTCAATCCCAGGTTAAAATGCCAGGATGTGGAGAAAGGGAGGGGTTCCTTTGCTGTAGGAATAAGGATTTCCTAACAGATTTTTAAAAACCCTCTTAGGCCATTTTAATATATAACAGTGGATGAAAACCAAGTCTCCTAGAGAAGGTGCTTCCTATAATTATTATTTTTCTATCTCTCAAAGCTAAAAATGACTTTTCTCCTCCTCCTCTCCTATTCTCATCTCTCCTTAGTGGTACTCAATTAGAGTTATCCCATGACTGAAAAGCCTTTTTCATGGTGGTCTCCTGAAGAACTTGCTGCCTTTAGTCAGACAGGGCTTCAGAAAAGTGTGGGGCATTGCCTTAGGAACGAATTTCACTTAACAGTTTGTTTTTAAATGGTGTACATTTTATATTTAAGATTTTTGGGATGGATGTAAAATAGATTTGTATTAAAACTTGTAAATTGTATAAAGAAACCAAGAGCACCTGATATGAATGGCAATAAATGATTGTCTTTGATATAGCAATGGTTTTTTTTTGTTTTATTTTGCAAATCATCTTTGGAGAACAAATTGGATAGACTTCATTGTAGGCCATACCACTTGCTTAGCTGAGCAGAGTTCTGGAGATTGACAACATATATGGCTGAAGAGCTCTTGCTCTCAGGAATGGGGAAATACAAAGATTTTATATAGTGGAGAAAGCAGCTTTATGAGGCTTGGAATTCACCTTATAACCTCTTCAAGGATGCTCCTTGAAAAGCATTTTCAACTAGAGACCTACATGTTTGTAAGGTTGGTTCTTTGGAGGGAATGATTTATTTGTGATGTGGTTAAGTGACAACTGGCTAGGTTTGTTCTCCTCACCCACAATATTTTAAATCAAAATAACATTAATGAGATCTGGAATGAAAAGACCTCACAAAGTGGCTAATAGAACAGTTGCCTTTATTAGTGGTAGACTGTGAGGTCTGATGTGGTGTGCCAGACTTCCACTGTGTATAGAAAGCTGCATGAATTTCTTTAAAGTTATAAAGCCTTAGTAAGACCACACTTAAAATACTGCATCCAGTTTGGGTCGCCATGTTATATAAAAGATGTAGAGCCTCTGGAAAAGAATGCAGAAAAGAGCAACAAAGATGATTAGGGGGCTGAAGGCTTAAAACATATGAAGAACGGTTGCAGAAGTGGTGAAAAAAAGGACTAGGGTAACATGAGAGCAGTGCTCCAATATCTAAGGGGCTGCCACAAAGATTTGCTATTTACGAAAGCCCCAGAAAGCAAAACAAGAAACAATGGTTGGAAACTAATCAAGGGAGAGAAGCAATCTAGAGTTAAAGAGAAATTGCCTAACAGTGAGAACAATTAATCAATGGAACAGCTTGCCTTCAGAAGTTGTAGGTGCTCAATCACTGCAGGCTTTTAAGAAGAGACTGGACAACCATTCATTTGAAATAGGGTCTCCTGCTCCTCCAATGTACCTTCCAAGTCTCTTATTCTGTTAACATGCTGAGTAGGAAGGGCCTATTTCTTCTCTTTGGCAGCTCCTTTTGAAATGTTTTACACACTCAGACCTGAGAATTTGTATATTACACTGTACCTGAATTGTAAAGTCAGCACTCATGGTTTATGGTCTCTAAAGAAAACTTGTAAAGTCCCTTAAGCTCCATCTGCTAACACTAATAATATATTCACACAGTCAATTCATCTGAAAGCAAAAAAGGCGACTCAGCCAGCCAGGCAAGGCCATCAAAAGGGAAAATTATTTCCACTGTTTAATACCATCAAATTGTAAGGTGTGTTAGTGGAAAACAATAAGCCATGATTAACATTTAACAAGATTTAAACTTTTTAAAAATGTCAGATGTTCTCATGAAGTAATTTCCCCATCATTTCCTACTCCAAGGCCGGTTAGACTCAGCTGCATCCATACATAATTTACACAGCATACAATATATTTAAAATAAACTACGAATTCTTTAAAAATAAGCATTCTTTGAAAGAGCAAATAAAAAACCAAACAGACTGGATTCTCTCAGGGATAAGAAGAAAGAAAAGCATTTTACTGCCTCCTAGTGGCTCAGACAGTAATGTGGTTCCACCCAGATCATAAAATACAACAGATCTTTGATTAGTAAATATATAACAAACCCACATTTTAAAAATATATACATATCTTTAAATTTTTTTACAGTTATCAATAGTGGGGGGGAAAAAACAAGCTTTGCCAGTCAGTAAAGTGTGAAATGTATAATCTATTTAGAAAAAAAGTTTTATAGGGAGCCTTTTTGAAAAGTGCCACTAGTTGCAGCTATTACTCTTACAGCCCTAGTAGTCAACCAAAGGCTGACTAATCCACTTGACACTGGATAAAAAGAGTCAAACATGAGGAGAAACTAGACCTAGAGCAAAGAACGGCTAAAAGGCTCCTTTGTCTTGCCAGTCCTATTTACTATTTTCCCTCCCCCTTTTTATTTCTAAAGAAATCAAGCACTTGCCTTTTGTGATTCATCACTGAGAAAAGGAAGAATTGTGCTTTCTGGGTTCTATCAGCAGAGGGCTTCCTAGCAATGAAGGGAGCCCTTACCCTCCTGGTAAACCCTTTAAGACAGCAAAAATCTTCAAAAGGGAGGGCATTGTCATAGTTTCAGGCATAACTTTAAAAAAAAAAATCTTGGCTATAGTCTGTAGCTTATAAACATAATTTGTGTGCAACTTCTCCCTTCTCTCACTTCAAAGAAGATCATCTCTGAAATACAGTAGGGCAACATAGCCATAGCTTGGCTCTTGTCTTCTAGGTTCTTGTCCGTGAGTTTAATAATAAGCTTATAGGCACTCTTTGAGCTGGGGAAAGGACTAAGTGGGGCAGTTCTGCAAACGTTTGGAGCCCAAATTCTGCCGTTTTTCATTTCCCTAAAAAGGCCACAGCTCTAATTAACTGTCAAAAGTGTTTTGTTCCCTGCAGAGAAGAACACCGTAAGTGAAAAAAAAAATCACTTAATATAGCTACAACAGAAACTCAGTTGGCGTGTTAGCATATTTTTATAATCATCACTAGAGCAGGGGCCCCCAACCTTTTGGGCACCAGGGACCGGTTCTGTGGAGAAAGGTTTTTCCGTGGACCTGAGGAGGCATGGTTTTGCATGCTGCCTGCGTCCCACTGAAGGGGCTTTGCTTGTTTGCACAGACCGGTTGCTGGCATGCTGTGGTCTGGTGCCAGGCCACTGACCAGGGGTTAGGGACCTCTGCACTAGGGGTTTTGCTAAACTAGTTGGTATTTCTCTCACAGAGTCTACTGAAAGTGGGGGAAATGGAAGACAAGGTTCTCTGCTCTCTGGTCTTCCAGTCCCATACATTGCATAAGTCCAAACGATTTGGGAGTGGTCAAGTAGCTTTCAGTTCTTCCCAAAACATTTGCTTTGAAATGTTGTGTGCAATTTTTTTTTGTGAATCACAGCCTATGGCATGTACTTTTTGAACAGAAGGAGATTTAAAGCCCACTGGTTATATAGTGTTTTCTGTATTGATATGCTGAAATGGCCTCAGGGATTTGCCTTGTCCTGCAAGCTGCCAACAACCAACCAGTGAACCACTATATCTGAAGAAATTGACACAATGCTTCTACTATTGAAATGACAAAATCCATGAACAAAGAATGAGTTCGTTTTGAGAAGAAATGTAGGTCTATGTGGCGGGAGGAGACCTTTTGAGAAGCTCACAGTGACACTGATAATCTTATTCCACAATTAGCCTGAGTAGAGATACTTCTGCCCCTTTACAACTGCAGTGTGGTGTGCACCATTAGTTCATAAGGCAGCACAGTTGCTCTGGTGTATAGGTAGAAACCGAGTCAATCTGCATTGGAGTGCTTGCTTCATCTTGTGTCAAAGCGCTAGAAAGCACCAGAGCATAAGTAGCTATTTGGGGGTGGTTTCCAGCTGGAAGTGAAGATCTGGGAGCCTCTATCCAGCAAAACATGTTGAGTAAGCAAGATGCTAAAGTGCAGGAGGAGAAACTAGAAGTACTTGTGAGACTCATCTCAGAGCTTGTCCACCTTATATATGTCAGGTTAGAAGCGGGAACCTATTATAATGCATGCCGAGAAGCTGGTGCTCAGTCCAACATGGCATCCAGCTGCTCAGCTAGGTCGTTGAACATGTTGCTGATGTCTTCAAGAATGTTCTTGGCTGAGTGTGTTGTCCCATAGCAGCTGCAGAAGAAGAAGAGAAATACCAAATGAATGCAGGGTTTGAGCAAAATTGACAGGTCGAATTTTGTGGGAGCTGAAGATCATTTCATTCACACGCTTGATACAATTGCTTATCCTTCTTAATAGGAATGTCTTCCCCAAAATGGACTGCTTTCATACTCATGATAATTATATTTTACAGCCGTTTCAGTCTTTAAGGTGCTGCTGTTAAATTTCTGTACATTTTTCAGAATAAGAACACCTAGACCAATTCTTCCATCAGAGAGAGAGAATAGAGATGAATCTGATCTTAGAAAGAAGCCGCCAATTATTATTTAATTTAGCGGTGCTGGAGTTTTATTCCTAGGATTTTCTATCTTGTCCAGCTATCATGGACAGGCTTTGGATAACATGTACCTCAACACAGAGGAGCAATGTGTGTTGGTCTGAAAGAAGAAAATAGGAAAAAAATTCATGGCTGAATATGTTGGATGTTTATCTTAAGTTGCACCTTTGAATATATTATAAAATATATCCACATATGGAAAGTTTTTTTAATGTGCCAAAAATGGCAACTTATATTTTGAAGTACAAAGCTCGTGTACTTGAATGAGTTATATTTGCAGCTTACTCTTATCCCCAGATAGCTCACAAGACAATTTATGGGGGAAAAAATTAAAAATATATAAAAACAATTAAACCACAAGAAGCAGCAAAAGTAATGGGTACTTTTAAGCATTTACATCAACTAACAGGTTTGGCTCCTGCTCAATTCCTCCTTAGGCACATGCAGGTAAGGCGAGTTTACTCATCTCTAATGACCTAAATGCTAGAGCCCACTGTAACTACATAGCCAAAAAGGTGTTAAGAGTTATTAACCTAATCCTACGTAGCTTTTTCTCTGGTAGTATCACACTACTAACTAGAGCATACAAAACATTTGCTAGACTTGAATACAGCTCATCAGTCTGGAACCCGCATTATGTATCTGATATTAGCACAGTTGAGAAAGTCCAGAAATATTTCACAAGAAGAGTTCTCCACTCCTCTACTCATTGCAGAATACCTTATGCCACCAGACTTGAAATTCTAGACCTAGAAAACCTAGAACTACACCGCCTTCGGTACATAAAATTATATATTGCAATGTCCTACCTGTCAATGAATACTTCAGCTTCAACCATAACAATACAAAAGCACACAACAGATACAAACTGAAGGTAAACTGCACCAAACTTGATTGCAGGAAATACGACTTCAGCAGCAGAGTAGTCAATGGAATACTCTACCTGACTGTGGTTTCTTCCCCAAACCCCAAAAACTTTAACCTTAGACTGTCCACTATTAACCTCACCCCTTTCCTAAGAGGTCTGTAGGGGTGTGCATAAGTGCATCAATGTGCCTACCATCTCTGTCCTATTGTTTCTTTTTATTTTTCCTATATGTATCCATTTCATGTATTCATAACTATGTTTATACTTATACCTGTTATCTTATAATCACTTGATAAAATAAAAAAAATAAAAAAATAAAGTTCCTCTCTTTCTCTCTCTCTCTTTCTCTCTCTTGCACACGCACACACACACTTTATTTTTTTCAAATGATGGGTAGTCTTGGTGGTTAGTTATGGCTACAAAACTAAATCCTGACAAAGTAAAAAAAATGCTGGTTAGTTATCCCACTGCTTCAGAGTGGTGATTCTTCCTTTAATAAAAGCTATATTTCCCCTTTTAAAACAGATACAGGAATTGCCTCCAAAACTCTTTCTCTGAGAATAGGTAATGAAGTTTTATCATTAATAAAAGGTCATTTATTAGCTGCATCTTTTACATAAGCAGGACTACTTTTTCTAGGTCTGTCATGCTGATCTATGCATTTAAACTCCGAAGAAAACTATGGCAATATACTTTACACTAAGACTGGTCTAAAGGTGACTTGGAAATTCTGTCAATACAGATTGATGCTACCTGTCAATAACAGAGGCTGGTAAAGAGGAACATAACCAGCTGACTTTTTGGCAACAACTTCCAAGCTTGGTATAAGAGACTATCTCTCTCTTGCACCCACATGAGCCCAGCTGCTACATAGGTTTTGCTCGCTTTGAAGTCTGAGCAAGAATAGGCTATCACAATTACAACAGGGTGCAAAAACATGTGGTTTTGAAGAAATGATCTACATAGCTTGTTCCAATTTAGACGGTTCTGTGGCCCTTTCATGTTGCTACGTGGTAGCAGTGGGGGAAGAGAAATTTGGCCGTAGCACCATAACTTGGAAGAAATGGCAGAACCATTAAAGACAAAATAGCATATATGTAATTTCATACAAACCTACAGCTGAACTTGAAAAAAAAAACCAGAACACATTTGGTCCTAATGAATTGGAGCATGATGTCTGCGCATAAGTGCTCTTTATAACAAATGGAGCAACTGTATCCTGCTTTTGGATATCTACCCCAGTGCCGTTCAAAGATGCCTCATTCAAAGCCTTCTTTCTAATCACCTGTCTGCTTCCTCTGCAATGATCTCCTTTTCGGCAGCCTCAAGGGTGGATGCCAACGATGAACTGGTTTGTTCCAGGCGCTGCTGAGTCTGCATCACATCTGGACACATGGTTGGAGGCCTTGGCGGAAGGGGCACCCCAAAATTGAAAGCAGGCTTATTGCTGAGACCCAGTTTCATGGGATAGGGACTGGAGACTTCTGGCACCATTTCAGGGGTTGATCTGGAGGGACCTGTGTGGTGTGAGTTTGCCAAGACTTGCTGATAGATGGTTTTGGGTCCTGAAAATACCAGCTTGGTGGAAGCAATGGATGTTGGCATGGATGTCGTGTCTGAAATAACAACAACAACAACAACAACAATAATCTAGTGCTTAGTGTCCTATCTGATACAGAAGAGTCTGCACTGAGTTTGGGCAATAAAGTGCAGCAATGACAGGTGACTATATTTTCACAGAAACAGCAAAAAGTAGTTGGGTTCCCATAGCTCAGTAAGCCAAATCCCTTTTTCAGATTGAAGGGTCAGGCTCTCTAGACCAGGTGTAGTTTCTATAAAGAAGTGGGCCAGACCAGGACAAAAAATATCTAAACTAGATTTAATGTTATATATATTTAAATTTATCAAATATAATTAAGTAAAGTTAACAGCGTTTCCCAATAATAATTTCTCCATCAGAGAAAAGCAACTAAGATGCTCAAAGGCCTGGAGACCAAAACAACAGTTGCAGGATTTGGGTTTGGCTAGTCTAGAGAAAAGAAGAATTAGGGGTGACATGATAGCAGTATTTCAATATTTGAGGGGCTACCACAAAGAAGAGGGGATCAAATCACCCTACAAAGCACCAGCAGGCAGGACAAGAAACAGCAGATGGAAACTAATCAAGGAGAGAAGCAACCTGGAATTAAGGAGAAATTTCCGAACAGTGAGGACAATTAACCAGTGGAACAGCTTGTCTTTGGACATTGTGGGTGCTCCATCACTGGAGGTTTTTAAGGGACCGGACAGCCACTTGTCTGAAATGATATAGGGTCTGCTGCTTGAGCAGGGAGCTGGACTAGAAGACCTCCAAGGTCCCTGCCAGTTCTATTCTATTTTTCTTATGCTAATGTTAAAAAAAAAATAGTTGTTATTGCCAATGTTCCCAATCCAGCATCAAAACCCACAACCTACCTGTTACCGTGGCCGGTATTCTTAGCTGAGCTGATCCTCCATGCCTCTCGCTGTGCAGGGGCCCTGGATTGGCTGGTTTCGAAGAGACGGGAAGCTTGCTAATCCCCTTCTCCAAGGACAGGATGCTTTTCTCTATCTCAACTATTTGGAATGCCATGTGGTCGTCCTCCAGTGGGCCTGTGGTAGGGAGCGGTTCCATCATGTGCAGCGAAGGCCCACTGATGCTTACCGCCTGGGCCTGGGCATACTGTGGGGCGGTGGTCATGCCTGGGCTTGGAGCAGCCGTGCCAAATGCCTTCAGCACGTTTTGGAGAGGTTCCCTCTCTTTGCACCGGGGCCGCCTCTTGACCGTGTCAGATTCTGTGAGATTGAATTCCAACACCGGGGCTTCTTTTGCTGGATCCCCTTGAGACTCTTTTCCACTGGACTGAGCAAGAGCAGAGTCTGAGTCTGGAGTTGCTGTGGCATTGGTTTTGAGCTGCCCCAAAGGCTTTGGTCGCTGTTTGATGGTTAGGTTGCCTTCTTCTGCAAAGGGGATGCACTCACTGGAGCTGTTTTGAGAAGAACAAGGGGATTTGGCACAATGATCCTTCTCAACTGGACCCTCTTCCTCAGTGTCTGATCGGATATCTTCACGGTTATGCTGCAAAGCCTCTGTCATGGTAACTGCCGATTCACTGAATGTTCGTCTCCTGGGACCGTTGCCTTCCAAGACCTGGCTTCTACCATTCAGTGTATTGGTGTTACCAAGGCCTCCTTGAACTGAATTGTGGAGGCCACCTTTCTTGGTACCTTCCTGACCACAACTGGGGACCTGGGAAGACTGAAGTGGCTGAGCTGGGCTCCCATCATAGACTGGCCTGTCGAGCTTAGCAGCTGTGTTTTTCCCCAGACAAGCTCTGTCATTAGTATTATCCCCTTCGTCCTTGGACGGCGAGGAACCATTCTGTGCCGGTTGGCCTTGTTCAAACTCTGCATCAACTGCTAAAGGGCTGGAAACCGAACTGAGGCGTTTAGGAGGAGGAGGAGGAGGGCCTTTCTTCCGGGCCCGGATAGCAAAAGACTGACTGCGCAAGACTTTAGCTTCTGAAGGCGGCTGTGTCCGTGAAACCTGACTGCGCCCGGGTCGCCTAGTTAGGGTAGCATAAGAGCCCACTGAACTGCTAGCTGGCTCTTCCTCATCAGGTTCCCCATCTGATAATGCATAGCGGTTTAAGCTTTGTGAGCGTTTCTTGTGCTTAAAGCCCTCACCATTTTGGCGTTCAGGCTTAGGCTTTGGAGGCAACTGAGGTGGCTCTGTAGGGCCGCAGTGGGAATGAAGATAGGAAAAAGCTTTCTGGGCAGTTGATTGGAGGGCAGTCCTCTGGACTGACAAGTGGGTAGATGCCTTGGCCTGCTCAGGCATGGAAGGTGGAGGAGCTGACTGGGCCTTCAGTGATATGTGAGGATACATGAAGACATATGGAGCTGTTCCCTTGCTGGCAGCATGGGGCAATGTGCAGGGGGAAGGGGCTGGTAGTGGGCTTGATGGCTCTGGTGAAGCACTTGGTCTCTGGAAGTGATCCATCCCCTCGGGCAGATTTCTCTCCCTCAGGGGACTTCCCACACAACTGCTAGAATAGCCATTGATTCCATCTGGTCCATTGAGCAATGGAATGAATTTCCCATAGTGGTCTGGGCTGGGCCGACCCTGGGTGGTGGCAGAGTTCTCCGCAGGATGGGGCTGGGTGAAAGAATGCCCTCCACTGCTCCCACTGCTCCCTTCGCCACTACCCAAACTCTCCTGAGAATGGCTAGAGGACGTGCTTTGGGACAGCATGTTCTCCTGGGAATGTCCTGATCCTCTGGATCGTGCACCAATGCTCTCTTGACTCCGTGACATGCCTTGGGTACTCTTGATGGTCAATGTCTCTTGGCAGCTGTTGGACATGGCTGTCTGGAGCTCATGGCTCAGCTCACTGTCCTGAAAAGTGGTCATTTTGGGGGTGAGAGGAGAATGGCATTCTCCATTCTCCACAGTCTCAATGGTGACTATTTCCAAGGTACCAGGGATCTTGCGCCTAAGAGTGCTGACTTCAGCCTGGCTCTGACTCTTACAAAGATCTGTCAACCTCTTGACAGCCAGCATGATCTTCTTTTGGTGGCCTGCATGTCATACAAGAAAAACAAACTCAGCAGTTGTATGGGAGCCTTTTCTTTCAATTTCCAAGTTCCCTACTTGTGGAATGTATATTAATTTAAGTCATTTCATACATAAATGAGCCTTATTACAGAGAGTAGATGAACAGGTGAATAGTACATAGGTACAGCACCACCTTTGTTAAGAATCAATGTGTATAATGATTAGAGCATTGCCACTCAGCCATGATTGTTTAGTAGCTTTCAACCAGTCGCTATGGCACAACAATCATTCCAGACTAAGGAAGAGGAAAAAATGGAAGTCACATGACTCATTCCCAAACCACAAATACGTTAGACCTGAGGTTGATGAAGGGGCCAACAGAGGGTAATGTAGTTGGATGTAGTAGTAAGAATAGACTATGGCCTTGAAAGGACAAAAGGAAGGTCCATTGCCAAGGAAATGATCAAATAAACAAGGCTTGAGCCCAGACTAAGCAAAAACACTTGAAGATAAAGTGAGGAGGAAGGGAAGCACAATCAGACTTCAAGATTCTGTGACTGTGGCTGTTCTAATAAAAGCTTTAAATCTAAATGGGAGTGGGCCTTTGGTCTACCTCATAGGACGGATATTGGGGAAGACATTTCCTATTCTAGGCAAGAAACTAATGTCACTGATTATAGGATAGCCCCATGCCCCTTGTTTAATTCAGTTCCTAACCTTGGAATTTCAACCTGTCAGTTATAATATACGTAATTTAATGTTAACAGTAGCACAGACAGATTTCATAAGGGAAAGGTGACTTTTGATAATGTGGAAAGCAACTTTAAAACTGCTCAGCTCAGAGCAGTGGCTCCATCTTCAGTTAACAATAATACCAAGCAGATTAACTGAAAATGACTTTGAGCAATTCCAGATTCTGATGTATGCCCTGCTTGCTCTGTTGTCAAGATAATGTTGAAAGCAGTTCCAAATTTTGCTTCTTGAATTGGAAATACTATACAAACTTTTAATTAGTAAGTAACCAAAGTTTTAATTCTGAGAAGGAATTCATAGCCCACAACTATAGCTTTTAAGCTGAGAAATTGTGCAGTTTTTTTTAGCATTTGATTAGAAGAGGTTTGTTAGAGCAGAGATGAACCAAGGAGTTCAATGGACCCAGAACTGATGGGGTCAAATGTTTGGGGCAAATGTTTTAGATAAATATTATGGTTCCATCTTTACTGTAGCTTTGAAAGTAAGGCCTTAACTGAATCCAGAATAGGCCCATTCTATCCTCAGAAACATCTAAGCTTATTTCAGAGCTGCAATCAGAAAAGGTTTTGATTTGCCTGGAATCGTTGCAATCTATTTAAGTGGTCACTAGAAGTCATAAACAACTTGATGGCAGCTAATCAATCAAGAATAGTTGAAGCCTGTACCTACAGCTATCTGTATTAATGTAGTTCAACTTCAGGTGCATGTTGTCTCCTTGCTCCTATTTAATTTTTATATAAATATGTTGGCTATACAAACTTCTCTAACCCAGAACATCTCCCTAAGTTGGCCATGGACCTCTTTATTAAAATGTACAGTATACTGACAATGTTCATCATTAAATTGAATCATTATTAAATTTGGGAGCATGAAGGACAAATGGCCCATTGTGTAAGAAAACAGCTGACCTTGATTTTTTAAAAAAAATCTAGGAAAATTTGGGAACAAAAACATAGATGGCCATTTGATGGGAATGTGCTAGAACTTGGAAAATGAAGTAAATTCTGAGAATAAGTATCTGGCAAGCTACAAGAAACTACAGGTCAGCAGTAGTCCTTAGAGATATGTCCATGTAGTAGCTTTCCAGCAATGTGGAATTGGTTTTTTACTGCTTTCTTCTGCAATATTCAGTTTCCTGTAGCCTACAACCTTGGGATTTCCTGGTTCAGGGCTGTTTAGTTTTTTATGAGCGACCAAAATTAACAACCGGCTGTGCAGTTAATGCATTGAACCCTAAGAGACTTTACTGTTCAATATATCACCCTTTCTCGTTGCCTGAAAGCTTACTGAGCATTCTGCAGCATTCACTAAGCTCAAGGCACTTCTTTTCTGGAGTCCAAAAGGACCTTTCTAAGCAGAGCAGCCTGGAAGAAGCCATTTTAGCTGAGCAGCCAAGAGCCCTTTTTCCTGCATCATCTGTTTAAACATCATCTGTTTAAATTACCCTCTTTAGTGCCTCGAGGGTATTAATTGCATTTACACAACACAAATGATCCAGCAGTCACCTCCACTGCTCATTCATCCATTGCTGGATACCAGCAGTATACAACTTGGAATGAATGGGTTAACTTTTATTTATCCATTTATATGCCACCTCAATCATCCAATAATTCTACTCTGCCTTTCATCTCTTTGATCCTCATGCATTTGTCTCCTCCCCTCCTTTTTATGACAATTAAAACAACAGTAATAATATTCTTTTGCCAGAGTGAGAAAATGTGTGTGGCCATCTCCTATTTCATTTCATTCTTTGCCTCAGTGCAACGATGGGCACGTGAAAACCAGAACAGCCCTAGAAACAGAATGTCCCTATTTTGGCCCTATTTTGTAGGGATTTCAACAATTATTCAGGCTACTTTCCTACTCCTATAACCCAGTTAAATGTGTTATGTGTGTTGGTTTTTTTTAAATTCATGACTAGAGAATGGGGCTCCAGTTCTTGACATTCTCTATAAGCCAGTGGGGGAAGCAGTGAGAAGGGTGAAACCAGAGCAACTGTTTTAGGTGGGTCAGAGGTGGGTCATTTGTTTTTTTAAAAGGGGATCTCATCAACAGCTATCTGTCATGTACACCCAATTACGTATATGTTTGGCTGTTTGGGGGTGAAGCCATTTGGCATATTTAGATTATGCTTATGATCATGGACAAGCAAGGCTGTCTTCATTGAAAACAGGATTCTCTCTACTCTGGGAATTTGGTGCAGTGCCAAAAATTACACTAATTCCTGCTTCCAAAGAATAGAGGCAAGCTTTCTCTCCTATTCTTTTTCTTCCGCATTGTAAAATATGGCTTTGGTAAGGAGCCAACCAAAGGTTGATGGAGTGGCTGAGCTGTCTAACTCATCAAATCAGGCCATGACAGAAGGCAGGGAAGAAACATTTACAGGAATAGTTAAATACTATGGTATCGTGTTCCATGGAGGCACTGAGGATTGTTCTTGTTATAACGATGGTTTAGATCAGTGTTTCTTAAAGTGTAGTCCTAAGACCCCTGCCCATCCCCAAGCTCCTCTCAAAGGTCCATGAAATCAAAATTATTTGCCAGCCTGTGTTGAAAATTAATATAATATTAAAATTCCATCAAGCAATAATTGATAGTGAATGCATTGATTTTAATTTTAATATGATAAATATCAATTAATATAATCCATACAAACAAAAGCTCTTTTGGGGTCCTCCTCCATCATTTTTAAAAGTGGGAAAGGTTCCTGAGAGAAGAAAGTTTAAGAAGCACTGAAGTAGTTGTAACAGTTCTGAGACATGCCCCAAGCTCGGCTTCTATGAAACTGGAGAAGGCCGCTTCCTAGACCAAAGTAGAAAAGATGAGACATGGCCGCTCTGACAGAAGGAAGAATGGGCAGGAAGCGTTCCTATAAAGCACGACAATCAGTCCCTGAGGAAATGAACACCTAAGCATTTTTGCATGGGTCTCTGTGTGTGTCCTTCACAATTGATGCTCTCTACTGATCAAGTGGACTTTTAATTTTTTGTATTGATCTATTTTAAAGATTGGGACGTTATTATATCTAAGCTTATTTTGTTGCCAATTAATTACCAGGTGGAAGAATGCTAAAGAAATTAGCTACCTAACAAAATAATTGCTGCCTGAGGTGCTGATCAAGATGCGGAATTTGCTTTGATTGTTGATGTCCAATTACGCCATACCATCCCTTAGAGCTGTCACAACTGCCCTTGAGTTGCCCCGTGTGGCCCAGGGACAGGAATGAAAGTTTCCTGATTCTTAGTCAGAGTTGCTGGGATAATGGCAGTGACTCATTGCTAGAAGGGGGGCATATTAAAGCCTCCCTCCCTAGTAATACCTGAAGGCAAAAGGAAAATGTATTGTATATATAGGTGCAAAGCGTTCCACAACCAACAATGTAACCTATTATTCCGAATATTTTCCTTAAGATACCACAAGATTCTGCTCTGTTAAAACAAGAGACAGCCACTGTCCATGAGAATTTAGGATACCACGGTGCTTAACAAAGGTTTTGCAATGTCTCCTGCTCTTGCTGCATCCATCTCTCAGCTACAAAGTCACAGTGCACAGAACAGAACTGTGGATACAGTCTAGGAGGCTGCTTCCTTTTTGGGACTGTCCTTGGCAAGCTTTGCCGAGTCTGTCACTGTGCAAAAATGAAGACTGCATCCTGGGCTAGGTCCAATGTTCTCTCACGGCTACATATCACAGAGTGAATTGGAGTCAGCCAACAAAATTTGCGGAAACTGTCGATCTATCAGAATAAGGAAATACTTTCTTGGGATTCCATGGAATCTCAGGAGCAAGTTTAAATCAAATAGTCTTTGGAGTGTAAAAGCTTTTGTGAGGCTCTGCATTATGCTTAGTTGCTTATTAACTATGACTATCATTCATGGATTCACTTTAGGCCAAAAGCAAGTAAACAAGACACCATCAAGATACTTTTAGATTTCAACTCTCTTCATGCCAAGTTAGTTACCAAAGGCTGGGAGTACTGGTAGTGCAGTGATTAGAATGCAGTATTGCAGGCTATCTCTGCCCACAGCCAGGAGTTTGATCCTGATCAGTTCAAGGTTGACTCAGCCTTCCATCTTTCCAAGGTCAGTAAAATGAGGACCCAGTTTTTTGGAGGCAATAGGCTGACACGTGTAAACTGCTCAGAGAATGCTGTAAAGCACTATGGAGCGGTATATAAGTCTAAGTACTATTGCTATTTTTAATTGCTAATAAATGTTCTAAGGTTCTTATCCTTGCCTGTACGTACCACAGTCACCATAATATTCTAAATTCTAATGGATAGCCAACAATACAGACTGGCTAGATTTTCCATTCCAAGTTAATTAAAAAGTTCTGAGAGATGAATCACTGAAACACGATCAAGCTGAGGTGTAGTGAATACTATGTTATGGATCCAATTTCCCCACCCTTACAGGAATAGTCTTGTTAGTTACATACAACCAAAAATTCCCAAATCCCCAGTGGTTTTGCCTCTGGCTTTTGATTTCTTCTCACCAAGTTTGTTGATGCCAATCTCTTGCAAATCCTCCCAAGTCAGATCGGTCACAATGTTGATGGAGTCATAACCGTTGCTCACCAACTTTTTGTGGTACTGTGGTAGACCAATAGCACTCAACCATTCCATCAAGTCATCCTAGAAAATAATACAATCACACTGAGTTTCATTTGAAATCACTCTGTTTCTCTTCAAGCCTGTACAACTTTGGAGAGTTAGGAAGCTAAATGGAGAGCACAGCGTTTTGAGTTTGCCTTTGCAAATACTCTATGATATCTCCATGAAAAGGATGCAATACCCTGTCGAAAAGAGTGGGAATAGAAAAATGTTGCAGACGCAACCTCATTTTATGCAGAAGATGGTTAACGATATGGTGACATTAAATAATTATTAGATTACAATATGCCTCACAGACACTCTATAGCACTTTTTGGGGTGGGGTGGAGGTTGGGAGTGTATGCTTTCAGATAGGAAATAGTTGATCACAGGCTTCTTGTAGATCTCAGTAGTTGCCATACTCACAGGAATATAATTTGGGAGCCAGTCAGCAATGCTGAGCTGTCCAATCTCTGTCGAAATTTTCTTCCTGTGGCCTGGTTTAGTCACCCCAATTGCTGTGAGATCCTGGAACAAAGAGCCCGGGTATATATCTATCACAAACCAAATGCATTTAATATAATCTATAACAGAGAGCTGTGCATCTATTCAACATGTGTGCAGCAGTATCTCTTTTGGGAAAATGGACAGATTCTTATACACCCAAAATGGTAATTGTGTGGAGAAACTAAAAGACACTTTCCCACCTTTGCCTGGTCTTCTAATTTTTTATTTCTTTTTACCTCTGGAGTCATGCGGCTGATTGTTGGCACATCATAACCTGCATTCAGGAAGTTGGCTGTATAACACTCAAGCTGGAATTCACTTAGCCAATTGTAAATAGCTGCAGCATCCTACAAAAAAAAAAAGGAAGAAAGAAAAGTCCCCTTTGGAAAAGACCACAATGATCCTTACATTTGCATTGTCCTTTGGTTATTCTACCAAAACATTAATAGTGTGCTTGACTACGTGCATAAAAAAAACCCAAGAACAGTCAAGCAGCAGGGCATTAGGTCACATATCTCCAATTTACCAAATGGGTGGGGATGATAGGAGTTTTAGTTGACATTAGATTACCTATTTTGGCTGTAATTTAAGCCCCACTTTTTCTGAGTGATGGGCCACTCATTAAGCTCCGGGCAGGGCGTCTATTTGAAAGTAGCAGATTTTCAGCACTTGTGTCAGCTTGTATTTAATGTGAAGCATTGCCATTCATCGGCATGCTTGGCATGCACTTATTTAATGGGTGTAATATAATTTTCTCTTGATAAAGTGGAAAGATATGAACTAATTGTTATTCTTTGGAAAGCCCTTGTAAAATGGTCTTCGTGTGCAGTTTCCAAATCAAGACCAGAGTACAGAAAGTGCAATTTTAAATTTACTGATTTATTTCCAGCTATTAATAATATGGTTTCTTGGAAAGATCTCAGCAAATCTAAGGAGTAATTTTATTATGTAATTCCTTTGTTTACCGCTGCACTCAATATAAATGTTATTAGCAACATTTTCTTGGGAAGAGTGATCTCTGGCCTTGCACAACTCTTTATAGTAGCCATAGAAACATCTGCTTTCCTTGGCGTTCTACTCTCTCTATTCTGTTAGCAATACCATAAAAAGAGATCTTGCCTGGGAAGGTTTCTAGACATACTAGATCCATTAAAACCGCACGCCACTTTGCCAACACAACTCCAGAAAAGATGAAACACACAGTAGTCTTAACATACTTGCAGCCCCGGCATTGCATTTCTTGTTCCTCTACCTTGCACTACCGTATTACTCCCCTGCATCCTTTCGATCCTTCTGTCCATTTTCTAATTCCAGGCAAGAGTGGCACCAGATGATTTTTTAAAAAAATCTTGAGGAACCCCTGATATCAACATTTTTAAGGGTTGTCTGTTCTTTGAACAAAGAACTTTCAATACCTTCCCTTCCAGGAGCTGCTCTGGGCGTAGATATTGGTGGGAGAAGATCCTGTCATTGGAAAAATTCTGATGCATTTGTGTCCCTGCAAAGAATCAAAGCAAAAATCAGAGCAGGCAATGGAACCTTGGAAGAATGAATTCAGGACACAGTCATGCAAAGAGGCCCATTGCTATATAACATTTGTTTTAACAGGGAACGAAAGAGAATCAGAAATCCTTACACTGTGATGGTGGCACTTTCTGCATTTACACCCATGGAATTCACCAATAGGGAATGTACACTTTATTTACATTTCTGCCCTGAATTTTTTTTTATTTAAAAACCCTTATTTTCTCAAAAGCTATCAGCAGCTTCTTGGGGGAGTAGGGGAGTACAATCAAACAGTATATTCGATTTCATTTTAAGCAATTTATTGTTTTAAAGTCAATTCTCACATGCTCTTGAATTTCAATTTTTCATGGCTCATACCGTAGACTTTCAGGTATAGATTTTCATGGACGTATGGAGCAGCCTTCTGCGCCCTACCTTTCAGAAGTCTGGGGCTTCTCCTGTCATAGTTTCCAGCCAATATGGCCAATGGGAAATCCGGGAGTTGTAATCCAACTCATTTAGAGGTTATCAAGCTGGAAAAAGCTGTTGCATAAAAGCAGCATTTGACACTGCAGGGCAGATAGCAAGAGCCTTGCTCTAAGACTACGTAGTAGACATATTCTCCAAAGCACCTGAAGGCAGGACAAGAAGCAATGGATGGAAACTAATGAAGGAGAGAAGCAACCTAGAACTAAGCAGAAATTTCCTGACAGTGAGAACAATTAACCAATGGAACCACTTGCCTCCAGAAGTTGTGAATGCTCCAACACTGGAAGTTCTTAAGAAAAGATTCAACAACCATTTGTCTGAAATGGTATAGGGTTTCTTGCCTGACCAGGGGGTTGGACTCAAAGACCTTCAATAACTCTGCTATTCTGTTTAGAAATTAATAGCATGACATGCAAGCATGCCAACCAGCTGAACCTTCACCTCATGCAAAGCTTGTATTTGTTGCCATTAAGAAAGAGGCTCTGTTTGTCCTTTCCACCTCTGTGACATCTATTCCTCTTGTCTCAAGATGACAACGTCTCCACTTACCTAAGGAGCTGGTCTGACCATTGTGAGAATTTGAACTCAGGACATGTTGCTGCAGATCCTCCCCACCAGGCAAAAGTGGCTGCAAACACAAGAGCGAAGAGATCAGTCAGTCATCAGTTTGCCAGACACAGGATTTCCCACACATACACCCCTCGTACAGCATCAGCAAAATCATACTTACAACTGGGCAATGAACTGGCTGTTCTTTTATTTTCTCCCCTGTAGATCAGCAACACTGATCTATGGTAACTCTATTTCATTTTCAAAGCCCAGGTGGGAAAAGAAAGGGAATTGGAATGCAAACCTTCCCCCATTCATCTCCAAAGACCAAGACTGCTGTCTCCTCATACCCAGTTTGTTACATCAGAACAAAACACAACACTGCTTTATGTAAAGGGGTTTGCATGGTTATTTCTTGGGAATTTTTTCAGATACAGTGGCCCTGTCCTGGCTGTCACAGGACACCCAGTTACATCTCTAAATAACAAAGAAGAACATCCTTCCCCAACCAGACGCTTTCTGATATATTCAGGCAATTGCTATCTGAAGAAGAGAACAAACATAATACCAAGTGTTATTATATTTTCCTTAGTGGGGAGTAATCTGATTGAGAAGGACCTGGAACCTGAACAGAAATACAGCCTCTAGGGAAAGAGCTACACTCAACAGCTCTCTCACCCAACAGTGCTTAAATCAAACTCAGAGCTCTTACTGTCTGGCAAAGATCTAAAAGAAAACTGCGGCTCAATTTTTTTTTGTTAAATGGGAAAATACTCCTACATCTAGCTTGGCCATAAAAAGCACATTATCTCTCACAATTGATTTCTTTTTAGTTTTTTGTCGTAACCACCTTGCTCATTATCCATTAGCCAACCATGAACTTGAGCAAAAGCCCCAAGTGAGAGATGAGAATGGCTTTCACCTGGGTGGAAGTACATGATCGCAATGTCGTGACCCGGTCCCCAGGGCCCTAATATCAGGGCCAGCTCTCCTGATGGCCTATAATCATTCCCTAAAAGGTTGCTGGAACTATGGCAATCAGTGAAGATCACCATAAATTCCATTCTTAAAACTGTCAAGGCCTTTCCTTGGGATTTGGCTTCAATGTCTTCGAATTCTCTTATGCCTCTGCTGTGTTGGATGCTTTCTGCTCGTGAATCTGATGAATCTTATCCTTTTGAAATCAACTTCAGACAGATAAGCACTGGTATTGGGGGAATATGAACTGAAGACCACAGAATAAAAGATTCTCGTGTCATTGCACAAAAAAATACGATTTCCTTACCTTTACATTCTCAATGAGGATTCCCATGAATTGTCCATTGGTGCCCTCAGTACTTTGGCCGCTACCAGCACTTCGGATACTGCCAATACTGCCTTCGCTGCCCACACTGTTTCGATCACCTGCTGGACAGGAGGGGAGAAATTTCAAATGGGATTTTGTAGAGAGGAAAAGGAGGGAGATAAGGCTTTTCTTCCATAAGAAAGAAAATGTTAGGTGAAAAAAAAGCAATTGGTAGTAGCCAGTTCCACAGCCCTGCAGGCTTTGTCACGAAGCACAACATTAAAACCCCAGTTTCTAATTAGAATTAGAAATGCCAGTTTTCGGGAAGAGATTAGTTGGCAAGCAATGAAGGAATTTAGTTATGTGACACTTTCCTTACATCAGCCTGCACTTATTCTGATTTGGACTATAAATCCACCATACCAGGTTATTTGAGGGAATATGCAATAATGAACAAAGCAGGCAAGTAGAGTAAACATGCTTGGCTCTGCTGACTTTGAAGGAATGCCCAGGAATGCCAAAGTTGCACGTGCAGATGGAAGGAGAGAAAAGTGTGACATTCTATTAGATGTCTGTAGTAGACATGGGTGGCACGGCCATCAGAATTCTGCCCTGATGATTAAAACTGCCTTTAAAATAAAAGGAAGACGAAGCAAACAAATATACCTTTAGTGGGGTTACCAGGTAGACTTGGAAGTGTCCACAGATGTCTACTACAAACGTAGCAGCATAGTGTTGTAGTGCAAGAATGGGCAAAACGTATTCCTGCAACGGTTGCTGAACCGCAACCCTCAGCGAACCTTGCCATTGGCTAAGGTAGCATTCGGCCATATTTGGAGCACAGAGGCACACATTCTCCAACTTTTGAACAAAGAGGCCCCAACAGTGCTACACATGCACACGTACACCCGTGCATAAATCAGTCGAGGACAAGTGGGTGTGCGTGAGGGAGGACATGTCTCCAAAGCTAAATACTCCACTGATAAATATCATAAACCAGACATCTCCCTTCTCCTTGCTGCTTTTTCTCCCTGGCCTGTGCTCTCCTATGCTGCAGTCAGGCAGCCCGACTGCTAGGACGGCTTGCCCAGCCCAGCCCAGCCCAGCTGTACCCCTGACCTGGGCTCTCAAGTGCTGGAGCTGTCCTAGTCAGGGTGAGGTGGCCCCAACCTGGAGGGAGGCTGAGGGGTGCCTGTGGCGGAGAGGCATCGGTATGCAGTTGTAGCCCACCAGGAGGGGTGGCTGTGGTAACCTGCAGTCCCTTTGCATGGCTCTGGCACTGATGTGTGGACACCATGCGGGAAAGAGTCAGGCCTGCATGTAGAGACAAAACGTGCATGTCAGAACAGAGCGCATGTAAAGGTAAGGCAGTGGCAGTTGGACTGGGTGTCTGCATGGCCTATCTTTCCCAGCGGGGCACTCTGTGCAGGACTACACCGCATGGACCCAGGGCCTGTTTTAGAGGGCAACTTTGGTACTCACGGAATACATACGTTCATCTAAAAGTTTAAAGTAGATTATTTATTCATTACCTAGATGCTTCCAGAATGCTTCTTTTACAAATAGTTTCAGCATCATCATCTAATGGATGTTAACGACAGAATCAGGTCCCTTGCACAGGTAGTCCTTGACTACGGCCATTTGTTCAGCGACTGCAAAATTACAGTGCTGGTGAATGAAGGGTGGTTATATGACAGGTCCTTGGAATTCAGGTCATCTCAGCACTTCTGTGATCATGTGATCGTGATCCGGGCACTAGGCAAATGGTTTGCACTTATGATTGGCTGCAGTGCCCTGCGATCACCTGATTATCTTTTGCTACCTTCCCTGCTGAACTTCCCCAGTCAGTCAATGGGAAAGCCAGCAGGAAAGGTTGCAAGTTGTTGAGGTAAATCTCCCCCACTTGTGCCTCCTCCTCCGGCATCCTGTTCCTGTGCCAGCCAGTCTTATAATCTCTACACCCTCCCAGACTTGTGCCATGCTCTTGCGCGCACCCTTCCCAACCCATGTTGCACCCCACGTACCTTTCCTGGCCAGTCACACCTCTGTGTACCCTCCTTGACCCACACCATGCCTCTTGTGCACACTCCCTAACCCGTATGTTCACATACCCACCCTGATCCCGACTGCAACCCCCCCCCCACATATCCCACCCCCACCCTTCTGCATACCCTCCCCATCCCGTACAGTTCTTGGGCATCCTTCTTGATCTGTGCTGCACTCCTGCATACACTTTCTGATCTACACCCCCATGCACTCTTTCTGATGCACGCCACCCCCTCACCCCTCCTTAGCAGCCTGTATCACACCCTTTCTGCCCTGCGCCTCTTGCACACCCCTTCTGTACTCTCCCTGAGGGTGACTTTCGTGCACCCACCCCAGTCTTCACCACCTCTCACCCCCCACACTCCAACATTGGCCACACCTTTCCTACAAACCTGTGCACCCCTCATGAAAATAAAGAGATTTTGCAGGGCTTTGCATTTAAAACCTCCAATATTTTTTTTTCTATTAGAAGCAATAATACAATAGTAGAATTTATATCATTTATTTTTTAATAATTGTCTGCAAACTTTCATTTCTTAAGAACATGGAACAAATTTAAAATATGAATATTTTACTTCACTTAGATATTTAAAAACAGTCTAAAACAACACGAGTGGAATGAGACAAATCGCTAAATTACCTTTAAGACTGTATTTGCATCTCTGCAAGTTTCCTTTTGATAAATGATAGTTTGCATTTATCTCTGGATAATGACATATTTCATTTTTGGGGGAGATTTTGATGGGTGTCTTTTATCAGTCCAAAACTGTTGTGCAATTATTTCTACTTTCTTACTTTATTGGACTCTCAATGTTAAAAGAAAGTACAAGGGATGAAAAATACAGGACAAGTACGAATGGAATATATGAAGCAGAATGACTAACAATATAAGCTTTGTTTGTAGGGTCCCATGGAAATACAGGAAATTGAAGTCTTAAATATCTGGAAGATATCTAGTTCTCTATCCCCTTATTTAGTATGTATATATGTATGCATGTATGCATTTATTTAGTTATTAAACTTATATGGCCACCCATTTCACATGAAGTGACTCTGTTCAAGGCATAAATGAGCCTTTTCATATTGAAAAGTGGCACGGAATGGGGGTCAGAAGGAAGGGAGGGAAGGTAAGCCTCATATAGTGTATGCTGAACTTGTTCTGAACAGCTATGGCTTTCAATTAGCAACTAAAGGCAGAGCAAGTATTGCCATGAGTAACTATGATTGGAGTAGGAAGCTTTGATTATTATTTTTTTAAACAAAGGAATTGATGAAGCCATGAAAAAATAGTATAAAAGGGATGTCCTGGAACACGGAATCATAAAATGTCTCCAGCCTTTTTCTCTACCCACCAATCACATCACTGGACTCTCATGAAACCTTCCCTTTATAACCCTAGGCCAACCTGTCCGCTTGCTGATTACTTCTACAATGGATGGAGGAAAGTAGCCAACTCGGTCAGTGCCTTTCTGAGCATCGTGGATATGGCCCTTCCACCGTCCATCTGCGTGCTGCTCCAGGACCTGGGCAAAGAAAGGAAAAGAATTCCCATCAGCAGGTTGAAAAGGCAAGAAGTCTAATTTCCTGCTTCCTGTAAGCCAAATTTTCTAAGAGTTTCATGTTGCATAGTGTTGGATATAAGCATGGGAGAAACAGCCGTGATTCAAAGCTAACCTTTGCTATGAACTTGCTGTTTGTCTCTATTTATAAAAGGAGAGAAAGTGCAGGGAGTCCTCTACTTACAATGGTTCATTTAGTGACCGTTTGAAGTTACAACGCCACTGACTTATGTTTATTTTTCAAACTTATGACCATTACGGCATTCCCATGATCACGTGATCAAAATTCAGATGCTTGGCAACTGACTCATATTTTAGGACAGTTGTAATGTCCCAGGGTTATGTGTGTTCCTGTTTTGCAAGCTTCTGACAAGCAAAATCAATGGGGAAGCCAGATTCACTTAACAATCTTGTTGCTAACTTAACAACTACCATCCCCACTTAACAACTGTGGCAAAAAAAAGCCATGTGCGAATAGGCGGCAATATAAATTTCCAAACAAATGAACAAATAACTGTCTCACTTAACAACAGAAATGTTGGGCTCAATTGTGATCGTAAATCGAGGACTATCTGCATAGTGGTCTAGAACTGTAAGGATTAAAAAAATGATGTGTGTGTGAGAGAGGGGAGGGGAGAGATTCTTTCATTTTATTTTTACCTCATTTATGCATTCTTAACACTTGAAAGATAGGTAGATAAAAACAGAATACAATGGAATCAAAACTAAAGAATTGCTTCATTAGGATTAAACCAAACTTGTCTTGGTCTAAAGGCTAAACATTTTCTTTAAAAAAAACATGAAAGCTAAGCTTATTACCTGCACCTAAAACTGAGATTCTTCACTTCGTACCTCTACAAAAGTTGTGCCATGCACACAAAATATTATACTACAAACTCTATTATTTAATGAACCGTTCTTTTTGTACATTCTTCTTTTTTTGTTGTTGGCATTTAAACACACTGCCAACTGAGATCCAAATACAATAATACTTTCCCCCATCTTTTAAGACAAGTCAAAGTTGTGTTTGTTCCTTTTCTCAGCATAAGAATGAAGCCCTTCCACGAAAAAAGAAGACCCATAACTAAGTGAGAGTGATGAGGGAACACTTCAGGGGAGAGTGATTAGCCATGTAAGATCTTACATGACTTCCATCAATTTCTCACCGTGATGACATCTCCTGCACGGATGTTAAGAGCTGTTGGATCGTGGAGATTCCAGAAATCCTTTAAAGCACGGACCTTCAGGATTCCTGACGCCTCTGATGACAGGTGATAAATAGGGAGGAAAAAAAAGAAGGAAACAGAGGAAGCTTAAAAAATGTCAAGGAACAGGAAGATGATATTGTTACTTACAAAACAGGTAATATCTCCTGTTTCCCACAACTGGCAAACTCTTCAAGCATCCAGTATATTCTTCCCACCCTCAACTTTCTTACTTAGCTGAAGATTCAGAGTCAGCAGTGGGGTTGAAAAACCCATGTGTCTTCATTACTCCCACTCTCACCAAGAGACTTCCAAGCAAAATCCTTTCGTGTTGGGCATTTAGATCGCAGCAGGCAATCTCGCTTCAGGATCTATGGGGATTAGTTTTTCAGCTTGCTCACCTCGTAGGAGCTGCTTGATGTCCTTGCTGGCATGTGAAGTGGTGAACTGGTTCACAATATCCAAGGCTGTCTGGTTGTAGGTGTTGCGAATGTTGACATCAATGCCCCCCTAGCAGAGAAAAGATTAAATGGAATGAGGAGAAAGATGAAAAAGACTATAGAAAGAGGGTCTCTGCAATATAGGGATTTTTTTTTTCTTGAGGTAGGGAACTGTGGAGTCCTTGGTGCTCTTTGAGCTTGTTTGCTTGCAGACATTTCATTACCCAAGTAGGTAACAACATCAGTGCATGGTTGATGTTACCTGGTCAGGTAATAAAATGTCTGCAAGTAAAAAGACAAATTCATAGTACACTAAGGATTTCATGGTTCAACCTGAGCTAGAGATATTCTTTTCTGCTGGTAGGGAACTGTGTTCTGATTGAACCCTCACAGTTTTATCATTGACTTAACTAAACCCAAGAATAAGTACTGGTTAACCTTCATTAGACAATTTCCAGTATTGCTTGGAAAACACTGGTTAGACATTGATTCTGACACTTCAGAACTTTTTAAAAAGTTCCCTATTATTGAAAATCATTTTTTCTCTCACTGGCCCCACACCCCAGAATATATACATTCATACAGCAGCTGTAGGAAAGGGAGTTATATACGTAAGCTGGTATATGCACAAAAGATTGATCTGCATGAGGAAGAATTATACTTCATACAATTTGCCAAATGCTGTGTTGGTTTACTCGGGAGAGCTTGTTATGCCTATCTGCTGATGGTCATGGTTATCACTAACCCAGCTTTGTTGTGTGCAAACTGCTTCTTTATCTCACCTGCAGCAGTAGGCGCACCACTTCTGTCTTGCCATACAGTGCAGCTTCATGCAAGGCAGTGCCTGTTTTTGTCTGCCTGTTGATCTCAATTCCAGCTTTTAGGAGTTGTCTGGGTGGATTGAAAAATAAACAATGAGCACCAGCAGACCAAAAAGTGGTCAGCTTGATTTTAGATCAATCTAATAAAACCCTGCTGTTTACTCTAAGCCATCTGGGGTCCTGGATGAAAATAGGAGATCACAGATGAATTCAATAAATCAATTTGGAGAAAACTTTTGAACTACAAGAAGAATATACAATGGATGTATATGCCCTATATTTAATATATTTTAATTTATACCATAATTAGGCTCAGACTTGAATGATGGTAACTCAGTGGTTGCTACAACTGAAAAATCCAATATACACTTAATTGCTGTTTCCTAGTCTAAAATATATGACAGAGAGAATTGGCACAGTTCAAAACCAGCCCAGATTGAGGTTACTAGGAATAAACTACAATTTGAAAAGTAAGTGTAAACAGTAAGTACACAAAATTACTGATTACTTTCATTGGCCAGATTGCAGAACTGCAAAAAGAGAAACGTTTAGGATAAGTTTTAGGAATTGGAAACTCATCAATAGTCCTCCCAGCTTTTTAGCCTCTATGGTATTTCATTAATCCTTTGGAACAATACAACATCACAATACAGCGTTCTAGTTTAAAGGATACTGGAGAAAGGAATGGTGCCCTCTATTGGCAGATATATTTTGCTAAAACGTGATTTGCTGCCACCTCCCTTCCCCTAAATCAGGGGTAGTCGACCTTTTTATACCTACCACCCATTTTTGTATCTCCGTTAGTAGTAAAATTTTCTCGAACCGCCCACCGGTTCCACAGTAATGGTGATTTATAAAGTAGGGGACAAAACCCCTACCATCCACCATGAAAGCTGGAACGCCCACTAGTGGGCGGTAGGGACCAGGTTGACTACCACTGCCCTAAATAATGGCAACAGTAGACTATTCTATTAAGACTACTGCCTTTCTCCCTCTCAGAAGTGCTTACAAAGTTACCTGATAATCTCTTTGTGCCCATTCTTGGCTGCCAAGTGTAGAGGTGTAGTGTAGTTGGGGTCACTTGTGTCTTTGAATTGTCCCTCAAGCAGAGCAACACACATATGGCTGTTTAGAAGTAACTGGGCTACCTAAAATGGACAGGGAATGATACAATGAATAAAATACAATAGACAGCCTATCTGACCAATGATAATTCATTGACAAGACCATCTATTCAGCAGTGTAGAACATCTAATCTAGAACATTCAAACTCTCTTATCTCCCTGAAAGGACATAATATAGTTCCTTCCCAATTTGAGATCTGTTTGCTCAACACTCTGATGGCACTCCACAGTCTCTTGTTGAATATTGGGGAGGGGTGTGTGGGAGAGGGAGAGATACATTCTGAGGATCTGCTAGTTTTCCCATCTTTTCCTCCCTGTATTGTTTCCATATTTATCATTCTTATGATACCATTTGTATAGCTTTGCTTTTATTATATTGTTTTTATTCTTTTTTCCAATCAATTTTTATTAAAGGATATAAAGAAAAGAAAATGAAAAATTGTAAGTTAATAAAAAAGAAATGAAAGAAAAAAGGCAATAAAGGAAAAAAGAAGATATAGCAATGTCGTTTCCCATCTTCCTTACAGCAATTACAAATGTATTTATTTTGTATCCTTTCTTTCTAAGATTACTCTTGCTCCCAACTGTTTTGTCCCACTCATGATCATTCTGTTTTTCTATTTACATATGGAAATATTTCTGAAATGATGACCCAACACACCATGGGTTTTCTAGTCCTTTTTTAATGGCTATTTTTAATGTGACCATAATTCAAATAAGAGAGATAGCTTCTGCCCTTCTAACCTTCTGCCCTCCAAGGAAGGCAGGTGCTTTGGAGAGCCATTCCTCTCATTCCAGCAGCCCTGAGAAAGAAAGCATTGTACATCTGCTTTGCTTCCAAGTCCTTAAAGAGGCCAGATTCTTCAGCCTTTTGGGAACTGGGTGATCCAACTCTGTTATTATCTCTTTTTCTAGACTCCACCTGCCAATGTTCTTCAGCCCTTCAACTACAGGTCCTGGAATCCTTACAGAAGATGCTCCAACTAAAAAATGCTTCCGCAAGGATGCAGTTTTCATGCGGGGTGGATTAGTTTTTAGCACTGATTTTGTATTGTTTTGTATTGAGTACAAATTTTTGTATTGTATTGTACTCAGTATATTGAGGAACTCAGTGTATTTATAGTTCAGCATGTTCTACAAATCCAGGAAACTAGGTTAATTAGCAAATCTGGGGTACCCATGGGCAGTGTATCATGAAAACACAGCCATGCTTAGAGCAGTTTACTATATGAGAAATGATTTCAACTTCAAGTTTAGTTTTGACCTGTCTTTGGCTATACATTATCACAAATTGTAGTTCATGTGCAGAGATCATGAGTGTATTATTTTATGTCGGATTCATCACGCTATTTATGCTGTATTTATGTTACTAAAGCTAGTGTTCAGAACACTTACTGATTAATCATGAAAACAACTTGCCACTCCCTCAGTTTCTTTGGTGCAACCGTGATCCCTTAGATTAATGCTCCTCCCAACCCAACTTAGGGTTTATTTATATTTCCTGTTCTTTTCTTTAGCTTGAAGGAAGCTTCCCATCCCCAGGAATTCCAAGAAGCTTCTGCACCTGTCCTAAATATCGGAGCCAGGAATCTACAGCCAGCTCCCAATTGGGTCAGGATGGAATGCTTGGCCTTCTATCCCAGCTGGCCTTGCTTCTGACTTCATAGCCTGAAAGAATTATTAGGCTACAGGCATTTGTGGTTTTGTGTGGGAACTCTCAAAGAGAAAACTCTGATTGCTTTGGAACTGTGGTGGAAAAAGACATAGGGGGAAGGATGCTGCATTATGCCCCACTAGTCATAGTAAGGCCTGACACAAACTGCTGCCTGCCCAGAGTTTTTCAATCTCAGCAACTTTTAAGATATGTTGACTTCAACTCCCAGAATTCTCCAGCCAGCAAGAATTCTGGGAAGTGAAGTCCATATATATCTTAAAGTTGCCAAGGTTGAGAAACACTACTTTAGTGTATTGACATATACTTGGTTACCACAGAAAACTATAGGGCAAGGGTTGAAACTCAGTGCAGTAAGGAAAACAATGTCTGATAGTTGATTTAAGGCTAGCTTAAGAAGCTTCACGGGACAGGACAAGACAGGACGGGATGGAATTATACGGTACGCTTGACTGCTTTTTGTGCACCAGAATGCTTTTCAATAGACAGTGGATACGAAGTAGACAGATGGGGTAATCTTTTCTCTGTCTTGTTTGTTTTATAATACAAGGTGGTATGGGTGATTCTGCTTACCTTCAGCCTTCCAAACTCACAAGCCAAGTCCAAGGGGGTTTTCTTAGCCTTATTTATAAGACATGGGTTGGACTGGTGCTGAAGCAACATCTCTGACTGCAAGCAAACGTGTAAGAACATGAAAGGAAGTCAGTGAATCTGGAGAAAGTGGCAACACATTCCCCAGTGACACAACTCATTTCCCCGTGAGGCATATTCAAAGCCTTTATACAGGAAAAGCCTTATTTGGAATTGACAATACAACAAAGCTATATATGGATCGTAATGGGCCTGTAATTTGCTTCTCCAGCTCCTCCTAGTTAAATCTCAGAGCAAGAAACTCACAAAGTTCTCTAGTCTTTTTTAGCCACTTTAATGTTCTTCTCTAAATGAATCCAGTGGAAACTAAATATCCTAAATATCTAAATATCTCTCAGGGACTTTTATTTGCATTTTCACCCTCTCAACACATTTGTAGCTTTTTAAAAAAAATTCAGATGGCAAAAATCACTGGAAGGTTTTCCCACTGGATAAGGAGAAAGGATGTGTTTTCTAAATTCACAAACTTGTAAGAGTTCTAACTGTAATGCTTGGTATGCAAATAATCTCAGATTCTATCTTTAAAAAATTGTAAATAAAATGCTTGTTCTCATTTGTGTGTAGTTGAAGTCCTGGTGAGAGCTTGAAAACCAAGAGAAATATGACAGAACTTTGGAGCTATTCCTAGAAAAGCTTTAATGTTATAAATAACCAACATAGGGAATTTTTTGGATGATAGTGATGGCATGTATATATTTTTTTCACCAGAGCAAACTATATACAACTCCGCTGAGTTTATTTCAGAATTTATAGCCCTGCAAACTATGCTACCTATGAGACCAAATGTTTTTTGTCATCTTTCTTCCTTTTTGTTTTCTGACAAAAGCTGTATAAATGCTATCTTGGCACTGATTGCAGCTTACTTAATTCTACTATGAATGCCACCCATACTTTATACCAAAGCCCTATAATAGCTTTGCTGTGCAATTTTCACTTGAGGGGGGGTCATATGAACATACAAGAAATATGAGATTAAGAGGACAAGATGTTTTGGATTTTTTAAACAAAAGACAAACTTAGAATTTCTTCATCAGTGAGGTTTGAACACACACACACACACACACACACACACATATTATTCATTTGGTAGTATAGTAGCTTTAGGGAAAGTGGGGTGATTGAATTCTATTCTGGTTTTTATTTCCTCAGAGAACCAGTTGATTATACACAATTAATGTTTTATTTCAGGATAGTAGTATTACTACTGTATCAGATGCATGAGAAATCAAGTGCTGTTTGTCTTTACAAAAGTACAATTTGCTTCTCCATACATAACTTTAGAATAAGGGTTTGACTTATCATCACACCGAGTAATGAGAACCTCTTTTATCTTTTGCTTCCTCCACCATAATTCCCCACTTACCACTTCATAGTGGCCATACTGGGCAGACAGGTGCAGTGGGACCTGTCCATCCAATGATGCCATATTGACTGAAGCAGATGCCCGTAGCAGGAGGCGCACTGGCTCCACTTTCCCTTGCCAGGCAGCATAGTGTAAAGGGCGCATCCCTGTAGGAAGGCAAATATCAGAACAGAAAAGACAGAGATAAGCCACCTGATGTGGAGACTATAGAGGCCCATCTTGGGAATGTAGATATAAGAAATTAAACTTTTTTTTAAAAAAACCCATACAGGTAGTTTTTTGACTTGCAAGCAGAATTGGAACCAGAATTTCTGTTGCTAAGCAAGGCGGTTAAGTAAATTGTGTCCAATTTTATGACCTTTGTTTTTTGCCAGAGACGTAAAGCAAATCCCAATAGTTGTCAAGTGAATCACATCCTTTGTTAATCGAATCCAACTTCCCCCATTGACTTGCTTGTCAGAAACTATCTGGGAAGGTTGCAAATGGTGATACTACAACCATTGTAAATACATGCTGGTTGCCAAGCGTGCAAATTTTGATCACATGACTGTGGCGATGCTACAACAGTCCTAAGTGCGAGAACTGGTTCTTTTTTAAAAAAAAAACACTGATATATTTTTAAATAGTGGCTAAATGAATGGTTCCAAGTCGTGGACTATCTGTTTGGATCTTAACCACGGGTTAGGGCTGGTCCAGTAAGCAGACAATCTCTACTGGGGCAAAAGATGGGGGTACAAAAATCCTGTGTTCTCATTCCAAAATATTACTCAAAATATTACTTCCCCAGAAGCAATGTCGCCTATCACATTGTTCGCAAATGACACTTTTCATTAGTGAGACGAGAGTGATTCCCCCCACATTGGCTGTTGCAACAGGGAACATCTGATCATGCACGGGGAGAAACCAGAACAGGCAAACGTCTTACCATTTGTGTCCTTAATATCCACAATGGCTTGTGCCTCCAGCAGCAGAGAGATAAGCTCCAGGCTTCCGACCAAGGCTGCATGGTGCAAAGCTGAAAACCTGAAACCAAGAAAAGAAAAGAAAAAGAATAGGATCACTTGATGGGGCAAGTCTCAGTGGTTCCTGAACATACAGCCTGACCCACCCTGGCTCAAGCATGCTCCCTATTAGGAGATACGTTGAGAACTCAAAACTACTGAGAGTGACACCACAAGAAACGTAACTCCCTTTAGGCACACAATTCACCCTAGCATGATTCATCTCTGCACATCCTCTTGGTGGTGATACCATTTCTAATGATGATTCTAGCCCTCCATATAGATATGGGAGCAATATAGAAGATTTGAAAGCCGGCACTGTACAGTACAGTATAAACATTGGACGAGAATCAAGTTCAAACTCTTATTCAGCTTTGAAGCTATTTAGAGCTATCCTTAGGCTAGCCACTATTTTTAAGATTAATCTTTTTTACAGAATTGTTTTGAGAAATTGGGGTTTTAGGGGACCACTATTAATTTTTGGGGAGAAAAGGAAGCATTTTCCCAATATGATGTATTCCAGATGTGGTTGAACGTAACTTTTAACAAATTTAGTTGCTACAATGGCTGGAAAGTGGTACTTCATAGTATACTTCAGTATTTCTGGAACATATTAATTTGGGAAAGGTTGAGATGTTTATATTATTACAGTGCCCTGGCAAATAGAGAGATTCTGAAATCACAGACGCTTACAGTTAGAGACTCTGGTAAAGCTCCTTTCTTTGTGGAGGTGTTGCCATTTACACTGTTTTAGCACTGACCAAACAAGCCCAGAATGCTTAATGACACATTTCTTTTTCTGGCATTGTCCTGTTAATGTTCCCCAAACTTTTTCATTTTCCTTTGAAGACCTTGTTATACATACACTCTTGCACATGGGAAAGTCTGCTGCCATGGTTCTGCAGGACACAAACAATCCCCTCTTGGCTCTAATAGATAGAGGACTTTGAGCAAGCTGCTAAGCTGTGACTTGATGTCTGCATTTTGGTACCCTCCTTGCCTGGGAAAACAAGGATGGACATACCTTAGCACTAACTGATTAAAATAAAGCTATAACCTGAGCCATATATAGTCTTAGAAGTGGACTCTTCAAAAGGTTTACCATGGCAGAAGAAGAGAAATATTTAATAAATAGGGAGTAACCATTTTATTGGATCTAATTCCTTCAGTGTAATTTTCATTCATTCTAAATCCAGCTTTACTTTTTATATTGATGTCATCCACCTATTTGCCCTGGCCCCGTCTAGTTTTAATCTCTGGTCCCCAGCATGCTTACAGTCCCCTCCCTACTCCCCCAAGTTGTATGTTCTGATTTAGGATGCTTTTTAAAAGATTCAATAACTGGCAAGTGTTATATTTTTTAATTATTGTCCCATCTGAAAAAGGACTAAGATGCCTGCCTCAAGCCAGCCTTGAAGCACAGAAAGGGATTTTTTTGCTCATCAAAATATGCTGGCGGTATGAGTGGATTTTTTTTTTCATTTCTCTAATTAAAAAAAAGTGTGTAAGCAGTTTTGTAGGAAGGTTAAGCAGTCTTATTAGTGTGTGTGTGTGTGCGTGTGTGTGTGTGCGTGCGTGTGTGTGTGTGTGTGTGTGTTCAGAGTAGCACCCAAAAAGTCAGACAGAAAAGCTAATGCTGGCCTTGGGACAAGTGACCAGCTGTCTCTCAGTAGGGGGAGCATCTCCCCTCCTCCCCGCCCTCTTACCACCCTGGACTTGTCCTGCTTATGGGCTATCTCTTTCCCAGCACCACTTTCCTATTGCCCAAGTGTGTGAGGCCACTGAGGATGAATAGATCTTGTGTTTGGGGTTTGTGAAAGAGGCTTGTTTATCCAGACCCCTCCTCCCCCGCTGGCTCCCGCCTTCCCATCGCTTAGTGCCGGTTTCATTCATTGGAAAGGATGGAAGGTAGCTCGGGGACCCACGGGAACCAGGGTCTCAGCGGCAACGGTGCCCCGAATCACGGCCCTGTTCTCCTCGGCAGGAGTGAAAAGTGTGGAGGGCGACTTCAGGGACAGCCTGGTTCAGTCCTCTAACATGACTCAATAGCGATGGGCATCCATTGTAGACTGGAAGCAGTTGTGTCTTTCGGCCTCCTGTAGGAGCCTGTCTGAGAGGATTTAATAGCAGCCACTAACGCAAGGCATACCAACACCACCAGTCCCCCTGTGTATGATGACAGTCTCCGTCAGGGAGGTCTTTTCTTAGCCAGAGGCAGCCAGCAAGCAGTCATCTCATGCTGGGCTTTTGCTGCGGGCCTGGAGGCTCCAATTATCCCCACGGTAACCTCTCCATGGGAAGGAGAGCTCTCACAGCCAGAAAGACTGGCCAGAGCATTTGAAAGAGTCCTGTGCCCAATCCAAGGGGCAGGCCCAAAGAGCTAGGAAGAATAGCCACTGAGAGCTGTATTGGCATTGCCTAGCAGGAATTGGTAACCTGTGGGAGTCCCAGGGAGGTTGTGGCAGCCTGCCACTCCTGCTGAAATTCTCAGTATTACTGAAACACCTTCTGCCCCCTCAGTCTGCAACTAAGCTTTCCTAGAGCCCATCAGGCAACTCTGAAGTATTCATTCAGCCCTAAATCGAGACACAACTGAGGCTGGAGGATCACCTCACAACACTGATGTTATTTGAGAAGTGGAGCAGGGTGAGAGCAAGAATGCAGAGATGCCACTTCATCACTGCTAGATCCCATGATGTATCTTGGAGAAGAGCCATGGGACAATGTTGAGAAAATTTCCTGAACCATGAACAATAACCCACTAGAAAGTTTAACATTATCCAAGCTTACTTATGTCCATATCTTTCCCCATATTAGAATTGAACCTGAAGCAAGTGGTTTGGCTAAGACCACCTAATGAGAAACTGAGAAAGTGAGATATAATCAACGTCTTCTTGACATGTAGCTATCTATGTCTCTTAACCCATACACCATGGTGATAGCTGGAACATATGGCTCTAACTCTCACAGTATTTATTTGTTTTCAATTCTTGGAGTGTAATATAATACAACATTTAGTCTACAGAAAGCAAGGAAACACTAGAGAACAGCTGCTGTTGACAAGAGAATGGGCATAATCAATGGTTTAAGATACCATAGTTCAACAATAAATTAATTCTTAGAATCATTAAAAAATATTAGCGTTTAAGATTTGTTAAATAGTTAGAAGATTAAACTCTGCATAATAAATACATCAAATATGTTCTAAATTGATACAAATATTAATTTTACCAAAAACAGAAGCATTATGAGTTTTAAAATTTATAAGTTTCCAAAATTTATGAGTTTGTAGAACGTTTCTTTCAACTTATAAAAATGAAATCCTGGCAAATTCCTAGTGGCAAAATAATTTTAAAAAGCTACATAAAAAAATTATTCCCTGCATTCCAAACATATATTTATTATGTATTTATGTATATTTGATATGGGTGTGTATGAATGGTTCTTCTCATGTCAACTGCAACATTTCCATCATTCTGTAAGTTTGTATCTGGCATATAAGGAGTAAAAGTATCAAGAAGTAATAATGCCCTTGTTGATAGTACAAGTTAGTTGCCCAGAACTAGAATTTCTCCCCGCCTCCACCAGACACACATGGGGTGTCGACAGATCCCCTTTTTCCGAAAGAATGTTGGAAGAGATGCACTCATAAAAAGACTTTCAACTCAGCATGTTTGTGAACAACTGAGAAAAGCGTGTCAAAAGAAATTATTCTGAAGTGCTTCTGGGCTCTATAAGATCTCTTGCTTTGCCCCACCATAGGGTCTAAAATCCTTTATTTAAAATTTAAGTCAGCTTTAGTGAATTCAAGCTTTTGGGGGTAATCTTACATTGAATTGTTAAGGTATATTGATTGCTTAATGCTATCAGTATTACTATTAATCTCTAGTGCAGAGACCCCCAACCCAACTACCGGGCCATGGGCTGTTCAAAACTGGGCAGCTGGAAAGATGGGTTAGCGCATGCGTGTGAAGCTCCATTCATGTGAACGGCGGGGCACTTGCTCCCTTCATGTGTGTGGAGGGCACTTGTGCTCACACACACAGCATCATTCGCGTGAATGGAGCTTCACATGCTAGTGCCTTCCGCTCATGCGAGTGGAGCTTCGTGTATGAATTTACCACTTGTACGATGGAGCTTTGCGCCCAAGCGCAAGCACTCTCCACTCACGTGCAAAACTGCGTGGAGGGCTTGCATACCTGCCACTCCCCAAAATGGAGCTTCGCGCTGCCGCTCACATGCCTCTCCCACCCTCCCCTCCTGGCTGGCCTGGTCTGCCAAGTTCGAAAGGACTGCTGCTCTAGTGAATAGGATTTCAACACTCCAACTTGAATATCTCCACTCAAGACTCATCTTTGATTTTTATGACTGTTCCTCAAAATTTTTATGACTGTTCCTCAGAATTTTTCACCTAGACTCCTTGGCAGCATGTGATCTGTAGCAGGGCCATCTCAAGACATTTTTCTGCCTAAGATGAAGCAGCAAACTTTTCTAATCAACATGTAAAGTAAGCAAAGTCAAATTATTTTGGCAAATGAGGCAGAAATACCTCAAGCACATCCCTCTATTCCTGGCAATATTCCCAATAACAAAACAGAAGTCTAAGTTTTCTGCCCTCCCTCACATAGGTTCATCCTTCTACCTAATAGCAGGCCTGGGCTTGATATCTAGGTTGAGCATCTGTCTAGTTTATTTTTTCTGTTATTTTATTTGTCCCAAGTTCCCCAATTCATTGTGGAAGGGAATATTTGGAAAAATTTCCATCACATTTCTTCATGCAGATATTTATCTTAGAATGCATCTAGCTCAGAATCCGAGTTATTCCTTCTAACTTGAATGTCAAAACACTAAGTGTCACAAGGCATATTTGCCTCACTCATTTGAAAATTTGTGGGAGTTAGATGCAATCTTTCTGTTAGAACAATTGGTCTGCAAAAATAAAAGGATGTGGCAACTAGAAAACTGGAAAAGCATTCTGCTCCACTTAATATCAGGATTGGTAAATAATACTGAACTGATACTATATAAATAGATAATGATTGAGGATCATTAGCTACATGTTCATGCATTTAAACAGCTGTAATGTTAACCCACCAGATTATGCTTGTTATGATATGACCTCAGCCCTTAATCCATTGCACCATAGCTATTCTGGGAAATTATTATACTTCTTCAGAAGTGATTTCAGATTTTTTTTCAGGAAGCACAGTGATATTTCTTCAAAGGGTCTGTGGCTCCAGATCCCAAATCTCTCTTGATGCAAGCTCAAATTTGGCTTTCTCTAATTTGCTTGCCATGAATTTCCAGCCATTTGGCAGTTACAAACTAGACCCATTTGTAGGACTCAAGGACGTTTTGCTATGAATGATTTGAATAAAGTATCTACCTGCAGTATTTTAAGGACAGATTTCTATTTTAGATTTGCGTTTTGCACTCATAATGTGAAGTGATGGACACAAGGTCATACAGGGAGTCAATGGCAGAGCAAGAGACAAAACATATACAGTGTTATCCTTCAGCTTGTAATCAGAGTAAAGCAATAACTACAGTTTCTTCATATGTCCATAATGAAGAACTGAGCTATTGGCAGGACTGATTCTCCCCTATAATATTTGCTCATCCCACACACTCCAATTGGGTGGGTACATTTTGTGTTCCCTCCCTGAATCAACGCCATCTGGTGGGATCCAGGAAGCGTGGTTTTTCCATTGTGGCAACTGCACTCTGTAGTCATCCCCCCAACATACGTTTGGCCCCTATTTTGTTGCCTTTAGAAAGGTATTAAAAACCTGGGTTGTTCTCAAGCTTTGGGGATGGGATGATGGGAATTTCACAGATTGAGAAGTACAGGAATGGGATTTCTTGTTCGCCTATTACAATCAAGTTTTTAAAATTTAATTAAAGTAGCTCATTTTGTCGTGTTTTTAATTTATGGTATGCTGGCCAGACCCACAAGTGTGTGTGTGTGTGTGTGTGATAAAATTATATTTAAATCATGAATATTTTGTTTAATTACATACCCATCCACATCCTGGTAGTTTACATTCAGCCGTTTAGTTGATCCCAAGAGTTCTAGAGGAAGAGAAGAAGGAAAATGTGTCAGTTTAGTTTAGTACATTGAGGAATTGTAAGATCTGTATGTCTGAATGCAAATTTAGAGACACATTTAGCAATGTTTTCCATGGGAATCTGCAACACTACAAAGGCTTTATAAGGAAGTATCTTGGCTACAGATATAGTGCTCAGGTCCAAGTCAGAATATTACCGGAAAAGTAATTTAGTGGAAAACTTCTATTACCCTGAATACTATCTCTAACCATAGTTTAGAATGAATGCATTAATGTTTCTTTGAAAGGAACAGACAGATAATCAAATAATCAGTATACTCAATGCACACTTTCCCTTCTGCTTTTCTGGTGGCATATATTTAGATGTTTCCTTGCTTTGTCAGGAACAGTTCTGTGGTCATTCTGAAATTATAGTTGCCGTCCCAATAGTTAGAGGAACGGATAGTAATGACAACAGCAAATCTGGTGCTCCAATAGATAAGGGCATGGGGTTTCTGCTTCTACCTGTAATTGGCCCTTGTCCCAAGCCTGCCAAACTCACCTTGCAGTGCACAGAACAGCACCTGGCCCATCCCTTCAGTCTGTTCTTTCTTTCTAATTTCTTTAGCATTGCCTTCAATACACTGCTCTTTGTGAGTGCCAGCTTGGGACTAGCCCCATTCTTCACTTCACTTTTCCTCAAAACAGTGGCTGCAAATATTCCCCTCTCCAACTGATAACTTCCACAAAACCAGCAGACAAAATCCCTCTTTCCCATCAACGTTGGGCACTGGTTCAGTATCCTTGCTTTCCTTCCATCAGATATGCCTCTATTTATAAAGTGACATGTCTGGAAAAATGAAAAACTGACATTTATTTTGTTCCTCCCTCCCTTCAGCTTTCTTGCTGCCAGGGAAAAGCCCACACATATCAGATGGCTGGCATATTTCCTCCAGAGGCAGAGGTGGTAGATCCAGAGTTTTTAAACAAAGGCATTGTGTTTGTCTGACATTCTATTCACCTTGCTTATTCTCCGGAGTACCCCACTTTTTGGTGGCCTACTTTGTGGATAACTCCACAATGGAGGCTCCCCCTTCCAGTTTCCAAATGAAGTGTGCATCTGAACCAATTATGATGCTCTCTCCCAAACACAGAAGCTGATGCATTTCTTTTCTTTCACATGATAATGGAGCCATTCAGGAATCTGAATGTAAAACAACAGGGCATCAACAAAAGAAAGTGACATTTATGGGTAGGACATATAAGCAAGAATCATTTGTATCTGTTAGCTCTCTCTCTATAATTTATTCTCTATTGGTTCGCAAATTCTTCATCCTACAATTTTTTTCTATAGCACCAACTCTACAAGACAGGCACTCTGTTAGAGAAAAGTTCCCCGAGGATGCATCTAAAAGCTTGGAAGACTAAACCCCTGATCCCACTGACTGACCCAGATTGGATTCTACAAGATGGGTTGATTTGAGGGACAGTGACCTATCTAAAGTAATCCATTGAGTTTCTATGTCTGAAGGTGGATTTGACTTTGAGTCTCCAGAAATAATTCAGTCCTGTCCACTACACCATTTAAAATACATACTGATTCACTCTCTGAAAACTAATTCAAAGATTTAGCATGTTTCACTGAATATGTTGGGTTTCTCTGAACAGCTTTTGACAAATGCAAATTGGTCAACTATTTAGCATGCAGGAAGGATTTTTACAAAGAACACATTGAACTTGCTGTGGGCAATTTTCAGCATTCTTAGCAGGAATGGTTGATTGGATTTGGCCCAATTTGGATACCACTATGAGGGAAGGTCACAGGAAAGTAACCATGCTTCCTATTAATGTGGAATCTTTTCAGATTCTGTCACTCAAGATCTGGAGAGGATTTGTGGAGACAGGAGGACTGCCACCTGTTTGTCTAATCTTTTCCCCTTTTGGCTGATTAAATCAGCCAAATTGCAACTGGTCCCATGATTATGAAAGGTGAATAATGTCTACTTGGTTAAAAGGTCTGTGCTGGGGAAAAAAACCATTCCTGAATTCGGAATATTTTGTAATGCATAAAACTTAGCCAGTTATTTCTCAGCCAGCTTCTTCATAATACAAGATTGTAATGTTTGCACATAATGTTCTGTAATCTTAGTACCTTCTTCATCATTTTAAGAGCAAAAAGCACATACTCAGCATAATGTGATGTGATTAAGACATTAGGGAGATAGTGAGTTCTACAGGTGGGCATGAAGCAGCTACCTTGAGCCAGTCGCTTTGTCTCAACCCTAGGAAGGAGGCAAGGGCAAACCAATTCTGAGAAAACTGCAGGGACTTGTCCAGGCAGTTTCCAAGAATTAGACACAACTGAATGGAGGGCGGGGGGAGGCATTAACAGCCCTAGTCCTACATAGGCAGCTTGTATAAGCTGCAATATTATGTTCCATTGCAATATTATGTTTTAAAGTGTGAAAGTCATCATCTAACTGAGCAAGTTTTCTCTCTTTTTTCCAGATCTCAAAGAAAATGTAAATACGATAGCTCCTAGAAATTTTAGAATAATTGAATTAATTAGCAAAGCAAAACATTAGAACAGAATCCAGTTGATGGGGTTTATTTAACGATGGTATCTACTTGGCAGGTCTGTTGAAGATGGCTGCTTAAACTGTTTTCTTCTTCTTTTGAATTGCTGCAGCTTTATAATCACTTGACAAACCTAATTCCTGGAAGCCCTTTGGGCAAATGGGGATGAAAATGGCAATGCCTCCAAGTAAAAAATAAACAGGCAACTTGAGCGGTTGGATTCTTCTGACATTACAGTGATCATAAAGAATCTTCCAGTGTCACCAACCTTATCAAGATGCGCAGAGGAAAAAAAAAACTTTTACTGGTAAAATGCAAAAGAGAAAATTACGAAGGAGAAAATAACAGGTGGTCAGGGGGAGGCTATGCTCTAGGACAGCCTTCCAGCTCTTTCTATTCTCAACCCCATCATTTACAAGGAGCATAGCTGCTTGCAAGGGGTTGGGGGAGGCAACTGCTTGTTTTTTTCCTGCCCCGGGAATCTTATTTTTGGTAATTATGACTAATCGCTACCTGAAAGACACTTTAGCTTCTCCAAACTGTCCAGGTTTTCCCGTTTACAAAGCCACGTGGGCCAATAGTTGTCATCGCAAACTCTCTGCGGTATTCTCTTTGGTATTTCAAGGGGGAACGTTCGAGGGATAGAGGGTTAGCAACACATAGACGTAAATGAGGGTCCAAAGCAAATGGCAACAACACTCGGACTTATATACTGCTTTACAGTGCTTTGCAGCCCTCTCTAAGCAGTTTACAGAGTCAGCCTATTGCCCCCAACAATCTGGGTCCTCATTTTACCCACCTCGAAAGGATGGAAGGCTGAGTCAACCTTGAGTCGATGGGACTCGAACTGCTGAACTGCTGGCAGTCAGCAGAAGTAGCCTGTGGTACTGCATTCTAACCACTGCACCATCATGGCGCAGAATAAGAGAATAATCAAGCTGTGTTTCAACGACAGGGGATGAACAAAGGGACAACACTGTCTATTGTTACCTGCCATCAAAGGAAAACAGTGGAAAATCACAAATATCATATTCTGCCTTTGTACATCTTACTGTTAAATGTTGAGGGTGAACAAGGCCATAAGTGCACATTTGACAATGCAAGATTCTTACTGATATCGGGCTTTCAACAGTCTGTCTCTTAGCCCCATTCAACCAAGGAAGCAATTGTTACATTTATAAACAGCAGAATAAGGTGAATGGATAACAGCATATCGGCACAGTTCTTATTCTGGAGACAGGCAATGTCTGGAATGACTTGGGTGCTATGGAATACTCATCCATAATGAACAGAGAGGCCTCTGAGGCTCCCGTAGCTCAGTCTCTCTAGAACTAGCAAAAGAATAAGAATGCCAAAAGCGACTAGGGAGTATAGCACATGTTTCCCCCCCCAGAAATGTAGCTTTAAAGTTTGGCTTGCACAGACCACCAAAGCAGCCAGGAAGGATAATCCTGATCCTAGCAACTAAATTAAACCGGATGATACAGAAGCAGAGTATATCAGGATGGGTGATAAGGATCAGGGTACAACAAGTGCATTAGCCACAGAAAATGCTTTGCACCCCTCCTCCTTATTGTCACTGATAAGGTTTCCTCTAGAAATTTCCCAAGCTCATTCCTGCAAATATTATGTGACTTGCATTCAAAGGTACTTCTATTCTTTGGACTATAGTTTTCTGTTCTCCTTTGCTCCAATTACCTTGAGGATGGTGGCTGGAATAAAAAGATTGCGTTACATGGAGGAAAAGCTTTGCAACTCCTCCTATCCTTCTAAATGTGGTGGGCTCACTGACATATGGAAATACGGGCTGAAAAGGAAACTCTGGTAATTGTGGCTTTCCTTGGGCTAATTAAAATATTTTGTAAATAGGCGTATTAATGCAAAACCATTTCCAAGGAGCTGATTATACAACATGCATGACAAACTCAACCAATGGGGTCAGCCAAGCAGAGCTGAAAAGAGGAAATCTAAAGAAAATCAGAATAACTTGTTTTTTAAAGGCTTTTTTTCATCTTCAAAAAATGTTCTACAGTCATTCTGTACTAAAGAAGGAACTGGGTAAAAGTGATCTGCCTTTCCCCTTTTATTCAGCCGAGAGCAAAGGGACCAGGTGGCAAAACCTAAACAAGTTTTTATTTGGAAAAGACTGTGTTTTTTCCCCCACTTTGACATAAGTAGCCCGAAGTCTAACAAACAGCCAGCCAGCACGTAAACCTATATAGGACTATCTCATAAAAGGAATTTGAATAGAAGAGGAAAGCTTCAATGGATAAATAGCTATTCTTCATATACCAAAGGCACAGTGACATTTTTGGGCAAGAAAGCAGTGGGACTTCTAGAAGGGTTATTCAAGTTACCTGAGTCCCATCTGTTTCCAGACAGGTGTGGTGAGATAATATAGTCAGAGCTTTCTTCTTCTTCTTTTTAAATATTTTTTATTTATTTCCA